TTTTATTTTCTTTAAAGTTTTAGTTGTAGTTGAACTGAAACAAACAAGCTTCGGTTTTATGAGTGCAATTAACACCTCTGTTCACCATGCTCAATTAATTACAAGTAACAAATTGCCGAATGGAGCACATAAATCTTTTTGTACAATTACAACAATAACTATTTTTATAGCTGTATGAGAATGGCATTAAAATTGTCTGTACTCACTTGTGTAATGTATACCAAGACCGAAACGTGTTGTTAGGCCTAGCGAGTTAATTAACATTAACTTGGAGTAATCAGCACAATTTAAAAAGTAATAACTTCTGTTAGTTTGTGGGGGCGAAAAATACAATTTTTGCTGACTGTTGCTGTAAGGTAGCCTTAAAAACTAACCATTATATCATAGTTCTTTAATTACTTAAAAACTATCAATATTTTACAACCCTGCAATTAAATGTAGTATTTTTCTGTTAAAACTTTCTTTTCCTTGGAAATAAGTCAAAATTATTTGGTCACGGCAAAGCAATACAATAAACTACTTGTATAAGTAAATAAAGCTTTATTCAATTACTGCAATCTTCACGATTGTTTATAACGTCAGTATTTTAATGATTTTAGATATCAAATTTATACTATTGTAACATGAACACTTCATGCCGTTATAAAATAAATATTCGTCGTTTTATTCGATACGCATGCAAACAAAACTCCATTCTCAAACACCGCACCATGACTCAGGTGTTTCAAATTTTAATTGATGTCAATGCTCATTATATCCAATCAATAAACTATTTGGTTTTATGTAAAGAGTGGTAGATGACGATTTCGTCGGTCGTGTGCCTCGTGTTGCGTTCTTGTTGCTTTACGCCTTCGGCGCTGGTTTTGTTTCGCTCTGTCACCAGATGTAATTTAAATTTTTATTCGTTGTATGCTTTGGTATGTGTATAACCATTTTTTTAATATCAAACTTAATATGTCCCTTTTAAATTTAGTACTTTGTGTCATTAGCATTTGATATTTATAAAAAGCGTCTTAGAAAATAATCAATTATTTGCTGTCGTTGATGTGATCATCGTACCTACTCATTTATGCATTTTTTGTGTTTTGGTTATTGATAGCAAAATAAGTTGTATAGTTTTTTTAATAGGATATATTATATTCTGATTATTTAGAAGTATTGTCTGAGCAAGACAACAAGTAGTGCGTTGGGTGTTCAATATCTATGTCAATCTCAATATCTCCAGCTATTTGTCGACACTTATCAATATAAAAATCGAGATGTTGGTATTGATACGTGTATTTCACATCCGTGGTAGTGAATTTCTTTTTACATAGAATAACCACTTGATTGGTATGTAATATAAACTACATATTATTTTAATGTTAAATTTAACTTTTATGTTCAGTAATAGAGATTTGAAATATTAAACGGTTAAAATAAATTAAACTGATTTGAAGATCTAAACTAATTTATCTAGACTACAATGTACGAATGTGTCTACTCTACATATAAATAGGAATCTTAAAGCATTATAGCTTCAAGAGAACATAATATTAACGGCACAATATTTAAATGTTTCATTTTTTCTCATCCACGCAGCTTCAATGTATGTGTGTGTGTGTGTACGTTTGCTTGTGCTTCACGAAGTTGTCGATTATTTTCGTATTTCTATTCATTTCTTATTGATTTCGTACGTAGTATACGAAGAAGCATGGCATGTGCTTCGTTTCAAATATCTTGGTCAATTCGTACCGGTTCTCTTTTCTTCTCGTATGTATTAACAATTATCGAGACGCTGCCCACAAGAGTTATAGAGATGGCCAATGGTCTATTTTTTGTTTATGAGAAGAGCGAAGATACGAATTTACCGTACAGCAAAATCTCGAAGGCATTTAACCAATTTACATCACAAACGAAACTAAATTCGTATTTTGAGCTAATAAGATGAATTTGTTTATGTGTATTAACAATATGTTCGTGGAGTTAGAATATTTCTAGCGTAACGGATCATTTTATTGTTAATTTATGCAAGCAAGAAAAATATCTAATAAAATATTTTTCAAAATAAAATATTTACAGTAGATACCTATATAAAACAACTGAAGGATAATTAGAATTTAAAATTTATGGCGTCTTTATTACGTACGCTGGTTACACTAATTTGTATTTGCGGATAGCAATTAAGCACATTTAACAAAATGATCTTATTATCATCCAACTGGAGCACAAAAAAATATTACCAAAGGCTATATTGGCGAATCTATATCCACGAACATTTATTCTAACTTTGATTATGTACCTACTTGTTTATTGGAACTCGTTTAGGCCAGATAAAAAGCTGTAGATTTTTTTAATAAGCCATTGACAAAAGCAGCACATTATTGACTGAACGCTAAATAGCAACTAGCAAAGCAGTTGCTTCCTAAAATTACATATAATGCAAACTCGCGCACATAAATTATATTTTATACATTATACAAATGTAATAATAACAACGCGTATGATTTATTTCAATGATTTCGGTTGATAAATGCGATAGTATTGTTTTCGACTGATCAAGCTTAAGCCTTGCTAACGTATCTTTACATGCTCAAACATGCTCCGGATATAGAAGTAGTGAATAGTTTTATCTTATAATTTTATCTTTAAATTAAAATTATAATATGATTTATGCATGTTTCAGGTAGGTAGCTGTAAGGATAGAGTAATGTGTATCATTTGGGCTACTGTCAGATAGCTCACAAAAATGTTCGGCTAACTAAGGTTGTGAAACAATCCGATTTACGACAGACAAACAGATGCATTGCTGTTGCAGTTTCAATTCGCAAGCTCACAAAAATAAAATATTTGAAACACATTGCAGGCGTTTCCGGTTAGTTTCGGGCAGAGCTTTTGTACTCTCAAGTTTGTGCAAGTGCCTTCTGCAATGCCCATATGTTGGTCTATAATGACTAGGGTGAGTTAACGAGGCGAAAATGGACGAAATAAACAGATTTTTTTCGATTCATCACTAAAAATAAAATTACGTTAAAAATATAATATTGTATACTCAAAAATTTTTCAATGCATTGACTTTCAGTTTATTGCCAATTACAAGAAAAAAAATAAATTAATAGCATAACATATATCATGTTTTGCGCAATGATCGTTTTGCTATATCAAAGGTAAATAAATAATTACGCCAACCACGAGTGGGTGGCACCAAACAACAACTTCAATGGCATGCAATAAACCATAGTAGGAAAGGTTTAAATCTGCTTTCGTATCATTTCGACAGTTCAATTGCCAATATACCTGCCTATCTATCCATCGGACAATTAACATTATTGGTCGCGCGAGTACTTCGTTGACGAGACATTGACTGCCCGCGCTAGCGTTAGAAAGAAATAAAAAGAATTATTTATAAACTTGTTTGTGATTTCTAAAATTTCTCTCGCGGCGCGTATTGAATGTTCATACGAATTTACGTCGAATCTAATGCACAAACACACACACACACATAGCACACACACAGAGCTCCTTGTAAACATGAGTCGTAAACAATCTCCATACGTATTTCTTATTAATGTCATTTGACTCTCACGAATTGCAATCGACATTCGTTTTTGACGTGAGAAGGTGAGAACGCAGGCACCGTATGGGCGTGTAATTATTACGCGCGTAATAAAGCTCGTAATTTTATTATTTTATAGATATTGGTATGCAGATGAGCTGTAAACTTCGATTCCGTAAGATGATTTACATAAAATAACGTCGAATAGTTTTTGTAGATTCATATAAGTTTTAAAATTAAAATTCCAATTTATTTAGGAATTTACACAAAAATTGTTTAGTGAAACACAGCTAATCGACAGTAATAAAAATACGAGAGGTTTCTATTTGTTTTTAATTAGATTTTTACTATATTTATACAACAACTGAGCTTTACGATGGGAAAAGTCCAGTTTTATGTTCCAACATAGGCAACACAACATACAAAATTTATTTTTGGATTCTTTGCTTGCTTTTCACGCAGTTATTTCTACAAATTCTATTGTCGAAAAAATGTCATTTAGTAAAATAGACATGTTTATACTTTTTTAAACTGGTTATTTCAGTAATTCCATATTTTCAGACTAATTTAAAAATTCACTTTTACTTAAAATTACATTTACTAGCAGTTAAACCAAAAACGATAAATACGAACCGCACTATTTTGGATTTGATATTGAAACAGATAATAAGTTCAACATAGAGATGTCGTGTTCTCTTAAAACAACTTATTTTTAGCAGCACTTTGCTGGGATGAATAGACATCCGCGAGCAGATGAACGCGTGTATAGTTGTTCCGCAGCTAACATCCAAAATCATATCGGTGTGACACACGTCGGACTATAATTGCCAGTCGATACATTTTTCTGTGGGAACAAACATTTACAATAAACAATCTATTTGTACTGTGATATAATAATGAACTTGTGCTCATTGCAATGGAAAATTTGGACGTCTAATATGTGATTTTCTTAATAGATTCGAGCATAAAGTGATTAAATAGTACATTGTTATCGAATAATTAGTAAATAGTAGTTGAAATCATGTCTCATCGACGTGGACCACCAAAAAAGACCGTTAGGACGTATATTCCCTTCGGAAAATCCAACAGAAGGGTAAAAATGAGTGTTTTGCAATATATTTTGTATTTATTTTATTTTTGAGTGCTTAATTAACAATAAATAAGTAGATATTTGTTTGAGCATACAACTACATAATATTATTCCGTGTACACTTGAAATTATTTAAAGATTTCATTCAATGACAAGTTTTATTTAACTTGACTGGGTTGCTAGGTGTTTATGAAGTATGGGTTGCCTACGTTGCGACCACGTATTGTATATTCCACGAAGTATATTCTTTTAAATTGATTATTTCTCTTGATATGAATGCATTGTTTTAAAAGTACACGTAATTATTAGAAGTAAACCCAGCGCAACACGATATGCTGTTAAATAATATGCTAGTTATGTGTTTAATTATTAACAGGAACTTTATGTATGTCAAGTTAATGGTACTGCGGCAAGCGGTGAGAAAATTGCTAAAAGCCAAAGAAACTTTGCAACTCATTGCATGTCCTGCAAACTCGTGCTGCTTTATACATTTAAGTCGTCACGTCGCAGCCATATTTTGTGGCGTTATTTGCCCGCATTCAAAAGTGCGTTATGCGGGTATTACTTTCGCATCAATTTCATATGTTCCACAAATTCTACAAAAACGTTGAAGTTTTTGATATGTTCCATGCAACGTTTTAAGATTTTGAATATCCCGCTCAATCGCACTAACCAATTCGCAGGCATTAAACGAGTGAAAACAGAGTGCAACAGAAAATGATATGCGCGTTGGAAAAACGAAGTTGGGCACCCGGCGTCGAGTTCCATTTAAATCGATACGCACGCCTGCGCTTTTCACCGGAAACCCCACCTACTAGTACACTCAACGCGGCAGAACGGTATTGCCACAAGGCGCATAAAGCGAATATACGGAAAAGAGCGAGGAAAATGACGCCGGCGATTGTACCGCAGTCGTCCGCCTGGCGGCGATTTTCCACATTACACTCGCACGCTCCCACCGAGTTGTGTTCAAGCACAAAAACAACACGCTAGTCGACATTGCCGTCGATGCCAATGAGAAAAGCCATCAGCAACGAGCGTGTAGTTTAAGACTAGTAAATCCAATAATAGTAGCCTGCACAGTTGCATTTTTGGATATTTTTGCGAGAGCCGCCGAAGTTTTTCATAAACAGCGCACCAAGTGCAAGAAAATAAATAGTTTTTTGATCGTGTGGTGTCTACCAGTCGCGTACCAAAACGAGTAATTAACGCATTCGGAGTTTTGTGAGTAGTGTGTTTACAAAAGAAGCGCAGTTTCTGAACTAAATAAAACGTCATGTAGCATTGCATTTTGTCTTATTGACCGATGGATAACAAGTAGTTGCAACCCCACGCACCAAGTAGCATAACGAGCATAATATTCATTCTTCTCGACCATACTTGTCATGCGAATATCCTTCAGAACCGGAAAACACCAATAGAACTTCTAAACATTTACAACACTCGGAACTGAATGTATAGCCAAATCGTATTGAAGAACGTGCCTCAAAACCATAATTAAAGCTGCCTTTGTACACACGTCTCACGTTTTCTAAAACGATCGCATTTTGCATACAATCGAAGCCGAATTTTGCACTATCGTGAATAAGTAAGTGGTGCTAATTATCGAAACATATAAAAGAGGAAACACGAAGCGAAGTCATCTATTTAGATTATGTCGCAATATGATATCCTACAACAATTTCAACAATCAGGGATACAATAAGCTCTTTACTCAGGTGAGCTTTTCGTTATTATTATACTGCATTTAGATATTGATATTTGCTCCAGACAAAAATTGAAAACAATTTCTTATTAACAGTATTAAAGCATTTGAATTTGATAAACTGAATACAAAGTATATAAAACCGTAGCTTTTGCATTCATTTAACACTGTTCACTATTGTGTTGCAGCTTACGATGACTTTTATTTTGTCGATATCAATGCAATGAGCAAGAATGAATTGATTTTACAAAATGATCCATATCTGTGCGGGCGCATTGCATCGAAGCGGGCGCTAGCTTTGGTTTCACGTGTATTAACCGGTCAATCTCTAGTTACGAGCTCTTTGTTTTTCTGTGTCTGAAATGTCACTGGTCGGCTGACTCCTTTGTGTCTTGTCCGATTGTCGCATGCTTGCCAGTGGCATCGCTACTTAATCTATGTCCAAGTACGCTTCTCTGGTAAGAATACAAATATATATATATCCGAATCCCGTTTAAAACTTTTTTTCATACTCGAATCACGCCATTATTAGAAAAGAAAAATCAATCGCCACATCAATCTCATGCCAAACGTTGAGAAAATCATTCGAAATGCCTCATTGTTAATAAATTTGCTCAGCTTTAATGGATTTTGTTCCAGTAAAGATTTGTAGAATTGTGCATGACATTTAGCATGAACTTGGCACGCTTCAACATCACGTATTTTGTTTTTATTGCCACATACATACATATCATCATCATACATATACAATCATCTTTAGGAGTTTTTAGGAATTATAGCCCACAGTTATTAACACCTCTACTAGTATTGTACAAACAAATAGCGCACATGTTCTCAACTTATTTAGTTGTAGAAGATTTACATATGCCTAGGAATTTAACTGATATTAATTTTATTTCATGTTTTAAAGATAATATATGTGTGGTGATTTCAGGGCTCAGCTGATTCTAACTACTCACAGCCTTCATCGGACCTGTCGCTGGACGAGGAAAAAGAGAACCTTCGCCGGGAGAAGGAGCGTCAAGCACTTAGTCAGCTTGAGAAGGCGCGAGTAAGTTTACATTTCTATTTAGATGCCAGAAAGCCAGTCACTCCTTTCGACACGTTTCAATGCCTACACTTTCATCAAAAGCACAACAAACAGAAAGTGCTAACTCGGTCAATTTTCACATGTTTACGTAAACATCGCAGTTCGAATTCCACTTGTATGTTTATCACATATACACCCATTTACGCACATGTGAAATGAATTTTGGTAATCTCCAGACAGACTGGAAGCGTTGATATAAATAAGTGCAATATAATTCGCAAGCACCGCTCGCGTTTCTTGGTACACAATGATATTTTTTGGTAAACAAGGCCAAGTATACTGAATTTTATGTGGTGCGACCTAAGAATATATCGCTTGTTTGCAAACAGCTAAAACGTCGTAATTTTAAAGAGAAACAAAAACACGCAGGTACCATACATCTTGAATCAACAAATAATAAAACGACTGAAGTTAATTTAGAATACACTAAATATTTACCCTAGAACATCAATCAGAGTGTATGAGATATTGTCCAGACCTTGTGTTTCCTTTCGCAATGAAGTGAGATCTTTCTAGTTGACATTTATAATTGACTAGTGTTGTATTTGCGAAAATTGTGTGCAAATACGAAATGTGAACGATATGAGCTAGCCAATATCAATATTTACTGTTTTGCCCCCACCTACTATAGTGTGTAGTAGAGTGGTGTGGCATGGACTCATATCGTACATCATATCACGCGTACACTGGCACTATATTACTGTAGGATATTAATCAATAAGCGTCTACCGACACGCAACCATATTGGATTTTCTCACAACAGATATGTTATTGCAATCGTTCGCCGACAAAGGTCTTAAACGTTCGTATTTCGAAAAGTACGCACGTCCGTTACATACTCCACAACTATTAAATTTTTATATCTAATTAAATCCTATGATTTCACGTAAAGTTGGATTGAGTTTAATCTGCAGTTTATTAATAATGATTTATTCATTGCAGACGAAGCCGGTAGCATTCGCAGTCCGCACAAATGTTGCATATGACGGATCGGTCGACGATGATTCGCCAGTACACGGATACGCAATTTCTTTCGATATTAGAGATTTTCTTCATATTAAGGTAAACACAATCCCCAATCCTAACTCCTCATCCTAATGTATAATTTGTAGGAAAAATACGACAACAACTGGTGGATAGGTCGGCTGGTAAAAGAGGGTTCCGATGTGGGCTTCATTCCGTCGCCGGTGAAGCTGGAAAATCTCCGCCTGCAGCAAACGTCGCAAACAAATCGGAAACTCTACGCCAGCAAGGCGACCAGCTCCACGTCAAACATTGGGGCTCCTGGTAACGATGTTTCCAGAGGTAGCACCCCTCCTACGCCCGGTATGTCCTGTCCACTGACTCTTAAGTTCCGTGGAAATAAATATTTATTATATTAAACGTTTTTTGGTGTTTCTTTGTCGTGGTGGTAAACTATTTTAACAAATGGTGGTTGATTTTGTTTTCATTATTTTCTTCTATTATATTTGAGATTTGCGACTTGGTTTAATCCTGATTTTGTTCTTATCGTGTATTTTTGTGTTTTATTTTGTATATATCGATGTCGATGTAAATAACGTTTATCCTCGCGCTGCGCCGGAAGTAATGCTGGTGCCCGAGGTATAAACTTTGGATGTTTATCAATGTGGTAATCACATTTTAATGGTTTAGTTTCGTATGGTTTCTCAATTACTTAAAATAATCAGTGTCTCCTTTTTCTGCGTTTCAATCAGGTTATTTCAGATATTTTTGGTTTGAGTCCAATTATAGACTTGATAAATTAACGAAAGTCGTGATAAGTATTTATTGAGTCCCACAGATCCTTATATATCCTTTCTTACCAAATACCCCGAAAATTTACCTCTATGAAAAACATCTACACAATCTAAATTAGTTACTAGGCAAATAGCGCATAGAATATTAGTACAAGTTTATAAATTATAATTAGTTGTTTCTTGCATGAGATTTTTTGCATGTTTGCTGGATTAGTGTGCAGTTTGCTTAATGGTTGTCGCTTTTGAGTGTGGTGTAATTATTCCAGTATAGGTTTATATTTATGAGGTTATTCACTTTAGGGGATGAATCGGATTCCGTTGGCAATACACGATCCGGTAAATCTCTCACCACACCTCCGGCCAAAGAAAAAAAGAAACCGTTCTTCAAAAAGCAAGAAACCACCGCACCCTATGATGTCGTGCCCTCGATGCGCCCCGTCGTCCTGGTAGGCCCATCGCTGAAAGGTTATGAAGTGACGGATATGATGCAGAAAGCACTCTTCGATTTTCTCAAACATAGATTTGAGGGAAAGTGAGTAGTAATGGGGCCTGACCTAATTATACACGACGTTCGTGTCGGTTGATTTCATTCGTGTGCATATTTTAGGATAATAATAACCAGAGTAATGGCGGATATTTCGTTAGCGAAACGATCGTTACTAAATAATCCATCAAAGCGCGCCATCATGGAGCGTTCAAACACGCGCTCGACGTGCCTGGCCGAAGTGCAGAACGAAATCGAGAGGATATTCGAACTGGCGCGCACCCTCCAACTCGTCGTCCTTGATTGTGATACCATTAATCATCCTTCGCAACTAGCAAAAACCTCATTGGCACCCACTATAGTCTATTTAAAAATTACTAGCCCTAAGGTGCTGCAACGATTGATCAAGTCACGCGGTAAGAGTCAGGCACGCCACCTCAACGTACAGATGGTGGCGTCTGAGAAGCTCTCGCAATGTCCGCCGGAAATGTTCGATGTAATTCTGGATGAGAATCAGCTTGAAGACGCTTGTGAGCACATAGCCGAATATTTAGAGGTGAGCATTATTACTGTAGTATTTACTAAAGTAATTTATATTTCATGTGTAATTCGTCACAGGCATATTGGAGAGCGACGCATCCGGAAACCGTGGCGACGGTGCCTAGACCAATAGGAAGCAGTCCCCAAGCCTCACCAAGTGGTGAACCAGGAAGACCAACTTTACCAGGTGAGCGCATCCATTGTAAATTATAGCAACATACTACCAGAAACACCAGCTTATCACTGTCAGTGGTCATCTCACCAGTTCGACATTCTAATCACACATTCACTAACCTATATTAACTAATGCATTTACTAACACGTAACATGACTAATTTTTATTTGCAGCCCACCATGAAGTTTATGGGGGATATGCGCATGACTCTAGAGGTAGTCGCCCAGGTGTTAAATATATCGGATTGCAAAGTTGGGATTCTGTAGATTCGCTAGAATCATTGTCTTTCTTATAATTTGACACGTTTTTAAAATACTAATACATTTCATTATTGATTTGTTTCTTCGAACCACGTCTAGTTTGATATGAACAACATTATTGCTGCATGCTCTTGTTTGCGTTTTATTTTTGAACATACTTATTGATTTGCATACATGCAAATGCAAACGGTAGACATTGCACATAATTGAACTCGAAACCTAACTACCATCAATTCACAATAACGGGAGAGGGACCAAATAGAGTTAGATGGGGCTGTTCAGCCTTAAACCGGATACCAAAGAGTAGCATACCCATGTGTACCCTTATAATGAAACGATAATAAATGTAAAAGATAATATTTCTTGTACGTGTAATAGATGATTTTTGGAGCTTACTAATTATAACTCTGACCCAATTAACATTCAAATGGTTTTTGGTTAGACTAATAAAGCATTTGAGAATGGAATATTAATTATTTGAAATATAATTCTATCATTTTGTTAATTTTTATATTGTGGCAAATCATTATTTTCATCTTTCGGTTTTTCAGATTTTTCTGGCTCAATGACACCGATTACGGCCGTTCATTAATTATTATCTTAATCGCAATTAACTAAATAGGAAACCGATCGATTTGTTACATGATAACTTAGCCATTTGTATATAGTTTATTCGGCGTTTTGTCCAGTGTCAGACATTTGATTCAGGTTATACTGATTTATTTATTTATTTTTATATTGCAGTTTTCAGTATCAAAGTAATTGTTTTGTTTTCGCTACTAACCGTTTTAAAAGACTTTGTGCACGGAGTTAACTTTGTTTTCTTTTTCTTGGATTGACCAACGCTTCTGCTTACATTGACATTTCTACTGCAATTTTAAAATAATTCAACTTCTTGCACCGGCACATACTGAATGAATGTGGTTTATTTGGGCACGTCGCACGCTGTTTACAAACTTTTTCATTGTGACATTGTAAAGGACTAGTAGGACCCAGTCCTGGTAAAATCTGGCGCGCTGGATCTACCGACTTGTTTGCTTAATTCGTACACTATGGCAAAAGATACGATTTTGACCACCCAGTTACGCTTAGAGATGTAGAGTTACAGATTTATAGCATATTTTTGTGTAAGTAAAAGTAAACGAGATATTGAAATCTTATACTGTTGTGTTGAGCGCGTGGTTTTCATTTGATTATAAAAAATTTAACGGTCAATCAACGTAAGTGATTTTCCTAAGTTTATATTCAATGTTTATGTGTATGAAGTGATATACTGATTGTTTTTGTTTTCACAGTTCCGACATTTCACACGGGTCACAATCGCACTCGGCCTCGACTGGAGCGCGAACGTGAATACGACGATTATGCGGAGCGTGAGTACCGCGAAATGCATCTCAGCGATGAATATCGAGATCGAGATCGTGGGCCTTCAAATGATCGCACATTGGAGCGACCACCGCGTGACCACCGTGCGACTAGAGAGGAGGAGTACCCGAGCCACCGCGGCTCCTCACGACGCTGCCTCAATCCCATCTAGTGGAGGCTTTCTACGGAGCAGCCCATTGAAGAGGAACTTCACGACGAACTCAGAGATCCAGTCGACGCCTATTACAAACCGCAGTTACCGAAGGAGTTCCGCGACGACCGCGATTCTTCTTCGGGCCGCGGGCGTTACGAAGAGCGCGGTGAGCGAATGCGCGCTGAAGAGCGGTACGAGCGTGGTGCGCGGTATGACGACGGTGGCAGGCCTTCACGATACGAAGACCGCCGCCAAGTCTATCGCCAGGAAGGGCGTAACTATCGCAAGGAGCTGTTGGAACGCTTCGCCGACATGGACTTTGAGGAGCATGAATTTTCGAGAGGCCACTCGAACAGAGACTACGAGTAAACGCAGCTTTCGTTCCTTATGTTTTGTAATAATCACCTTCGAACGTTTGCAGTGGCCCACGCTTCAATGGGATGTTCCGTACTTGTGATCCGCATTATTGATGAAATTAAGAATTGTACTAAAATATATATATATTATTATTCAAGCATAAAATTGTAAATGAATATATCATATTTCAAAAATGACCAGTTTGGTGCCATATTTTGAGTAATAGCTCAATTTTAATATCTAAATATATAAAACTAATTTATATAATAATCAATCAAAATGGACATTTGCGGAATTGCGGTGTTTGATCATCAAGGCACACAAAGAGAGTACTCCCCCAAAAATTTAATAATAGGAAAAACATTAAAGCTTTAAATGCCATTTAAATTTGAATGAGTTGTTGGCAAATGCAATATGAGAGCTACTGATTCAAATGGAGGTAGGAGAATATTTCAAGGATCATTTCGAATCGGAATAAGTCACACCTACCATTAAATACAATATAAATCCATTTGTATTCATTAAATTATATTGTAAAAGCTTCAAGTCGAAAAAACTTTTGCGTTGTTGAATGTGACATTGGATATTTAATAAACAATGAAATCTTTGAATTATGTGGGTGCCTATAAAAATGACTTACTTTTTTAATTCTTTTCAAATGAATTTCATATTCAGGGATGTGATTATTAAAGTTTTCGATGGTAATATGATATTGTGTCGACAAAAATGTTGAAAGCTTATTTACGAAAACTAAGATTTATAATTTTGAAGTATATTGGAATGATTATAAGAAAAAAATATTGGACTTTTGTTATTATACTGGTTTATACTAATTTGCGAAAAGTGAATTTGAAGCGTAATGGCTTTGTAAATTTGTAAATAAACTTGCGTACTTGTATAAGAAAATTGTGCACTTTCCAAACAATTGAATCCGAAACAATTTATTTGGAGCGCTTGATAAGATGAATCGTTCGAATTTTGAAAGAGAACAGAAAATTGCACGCGATTCTTGACACAATTATTTAGAAATAAGTCAACCGTATCCGCTTTGAAGCTTCTTTACTATGTCCATTCATTATGAAAGTCGAGAAGTTCAAACGCACTTTACAAGTTTGTAAATACCTAACAACAATGAATTACGTACTTAATGGACTTACAAAATGAAAGACGACAAAACAATGATACAAATAATAATTATTAATTAATAATTATGCTAAAAACAAACATACACATACCAAACTAAACAAAAGCGTTTGATATATTTCAACTTGATACGTGATATTAAATGATACCTTGTAATATATTGGTTAAACATAAACAAATTTACGAAATTGTTTTAAGCGAAGTGCGGAATTCGATGCCGCAGGAAATTTTCTATTAAGTAAATAATTGTTTGGAGATGTTAGGAATACGATTGATAAAATTAATTTCGATTACGATTTCAAAGTTTCAAAACAAATTTAACTAAACAAACGGTGAATAAGCATATAGATTACATTTTAACATTAGACGAATGCACTGATTAGCAACATCAATAAACTTTAGTCTACTAGTGACATTTAACAACTAATTCATGGAGTTAAAATTGATCCGCAACAAAATACTCTCTGATAAATACTAAATTCGATTCTATCTGAGAATAGCTTACATCATTACGTTTTTATCTTAAAAGTTTACTTACAAATACAAAAGACAATCAAATTAAGTTAATCTATATTGACGAATTATTACTAAATTTGTACAATAAATTAGCATCAAAGTTTTATTGGTTTCTGGATAGTTTTAAGTTAAGTTACGAGTTCAATTTAACTAATATAATTGCGATCAAATTAGAACAATTTTCCGAAAACGTACGTACCTATGCTAAGTTGTTAAATCTGTATGGAACTACAATGTACTGCAATATTTGCAAAACTAATTCAAACGTCGACAAACCGATACCGATCTTGTTGAAGTAATCAATTAATGCGATATTGTTTTTAAGCTGACACAATACTAGTTTATATTCTGTTACGATAAAATGTAACTTTGCGATGCACCGCAACGTTTCTCAAATGCATCAGTGCATGAATCTTTGATGTTTACAAGTCAAATTTAATAATCGCCATACAATTGTATCATGAAGCTTCGAAAGCTTTGCAAGGATGCTTCTGCAATACTGTGCTGCCGTGCATCGCAGAGAAAATAAATAAATGCCCGCACCATTCATGCAGTAGCTGTACCAATCCGACGATAGTTTCGTTCGAATTGAATTGAAACCGTTTTACTAGAATCTCTCTAGTCATTTCGAAACTTACTACATATTAGACGAATACCAACAAGGCAAAAGACAGTAATGGAATTCCAGAATTGCATTACTTTGTGAGGATATAAAGAAATAATTCATTATACGCTAATGTTGACACTGAAAGAATCTATTTGAACTTTTAAAATAAAATATAAATATTAAATTATGAATTAATTCATTATTGATCATAATATTGTTATTATCGACGATGATAATAGTATTATATTATAAATACGAACAAAGGTATATAAAAATTAAAATTTGATACATATGGTGTAAATAGCTATTACAAAATATAAAAGATTCTACAATTAAACGAGTTTTTAATTATTTATTAGTTCCAACGTATTCATTATAAAATAGTTAGTATCTTACAGTACATGAATAAAATTTATTTTATTAATAATATAGAAAGATATATACCTACTTTAGTTCTGAAACTTTCACTTTTTGTCGAATGCGAACATAGAATGATAAAAGTAAATTTATATTATCAAGGTACTAGAAACGATATTTATTAATGTTATGGCATCGATAGAAGGTTTCTATTTTAAAAAAAACCTTAATTAAGCATACTAGTATTCTAAACACCCCCTAACCCTGTCCCTACGTGGTACGAAGACCACATTCTCACATTTGCAAGTTTAAATTTACGACAATTTTTAAGAAATACGGTTTTCTGCAAAAGCATATCAAATTGATTATTATCTTTATTGTTATCTGCATTGTGACATGCATATTTTCTTAGACCACTGCTTAAAAACAACTTTTGTTTATAATATCTAGTATATATAATTACCACCAGTTAGTCCAGAACATTTGTTTGCAATGTCATCAGGTTTTGTTCAGCAATTCATAATACTGCATAAAAAACTACTACTCTGCTTCGGTATTACACCACAAAAAACTTTAACAAAGAACAAAAGGAAAGAAAGTGGTGAAAGTGATTTTTAGTTAGAATGTAACCGAAATCTTCTCAATATGTGAAACGCAATATGTTTCGCCCTTTTCTATGAGTAATTGAGGTGGGTAATTCAATACAATGTCTTAGTTCTATAGAATCTAATATAGCACTCATTCAAAGCGCTCTTTTAACATTAATGTTTAATATGTACAGTATGTACAGCAAGTACCTTCGTGATATTTTTTAAACTTTCCACAACAGATTAAAAAATATTTTATAATAAACTATATAATATATCGATAAATACGTATGTTTAAATACTTATAGGTAAATAATTCTGCAGCTGCTTCTATAAAATACATTAAACAGTTAAAATTTTTCTTAAATTACAACAAAACAATTTTGAAATATCTTTAAAATCCTTCATTTTAAATTTAACTTTAAAATGCTGTGTATTTATATTTATACTTTTTATAAATATAAATATACTTTATACAATTGAGCATTCTTTTTTTTCTTCACCTTTTTAACAATTATAAATGTTATTAATGTATGATTTCGTTGCTTCAAAATCCGTGAATTAATAGACTTTTATTGTTTCATGCTTCTCCGTGTCGGATTTCTCGTACGGCCGTTTCGCTGACAGAATCGTCAAACTCGCCATCACGCTCTTCCTCCTCGTCAATAATACTAATGTCTCGAATGGATGGTCTATGACTGCGTCGCCATTCTTCAGGGACTATTGGATACTTCGTTTTTGTTAGCAAACGCGGTCCGCTAATTGTAATTAAAATTGCGCCCGTTGGTGCCGTCAGCATAATTGACAATACACATATCATTAATACAGTCTCGGCATACTCTTTGTCTTTTCCAGTTGAACTCGCGAGGAGACCCAATGTTACAGGACCAAGTGCAGCCTAAAATATATATTACATAAATTACATGCTTATTTATGCTATTAATGAATTGTTATACCTGTACAGTTGCTTTTGCCATCAAACTTAATGAAACAAATATCTTTTCTTTTAAATTCAGCTTACATCCAATACATAATGCTATGGTAGCTGCGATTCTAATCAGTACTCCAGCCATTAAGCAACCAACTCCGATGGTGACAAGATGTGAATTCAATTCGTTAATTTTGATCTGTGCTCCAGTGATACCAAACAAAATAGGTTCAAAGATCATCCAAAATATTTCGAAAGCGGTTGCTGCTGGGTTTTCTTCTATCTCCCAGCCTTGTTTTGACCAACACACTAAAGAAACAAAGGCTGCAGCAACGCATGCTAATGGACCAGCACCACCATATCCAATCAATTCGCTACCAAACACTGAGATTAGTCCTCCAACAAGTAACATGAGAATTCGTAATGGAACTACGAAAGGATCATGTTTTTCTGGAACGAATGATGACACTACTCCCCATAAAACACCAAACGCTATGCCTCCAATAATTGAAATTGGCCCTTGTAGGATTTGCGATGTTAATGAATCATTCGAGAACATTATACTCTGCATTATTCCAAAGATGGCGACTGAGGTGGCATCGTCAATACCGGCTATTGCAATGATCAAGGTAGGAATGCCTTTTGCTACACCGTAACCCTTAGTTCGCAATCGAAACAAACAGGGCACTACCACAGCTGGTGATACGGCAGCAATAATAACTCCAAGTAGTATGCCCCAAACCCAGGGAAGGTCCAATAGAAAATGGGTTGAAATTGCTATCACACCTGCTTCGACAATCCATGGACCAAGACCAACCTTAATAACCGTGAATTTTAGCCGTTTTAATGCATTAGGATCTAGATCTAAACCGGCTCGGATTAAAATAATCACTAGTGCTATTTTTCTAAAATTTAAACACATAATTCATAAATTATTTAACTCATTGCAATAAAACATTAAATGCATACCTTAATTCCTTATTGACTTCCATGAACTCCGTATCAAATTCAACTAATCCAATGTTTTGAAATAGCAGTCCAACAAATAACATTCCAATCAAAGCCGGCAAATTGGTCAAACTCATCAGCCAGCCGCCAATGTGTGCGCCCAAAGTTAATGTTATTAATTGGAAAAGTTGACCACCAGGTGCTGCCGTATCGCCGATTACCGAATACACAACAAACCATAATAGCACACCGATGAGAGACAACGAGATAATCCTGGAAAACTGTCTGTATGTCGGACAGAAGGGATACGGACATACTTTGTTCCACATCGGTGGAGCCCATGATGGATGCGGAGGCTCTTTGCTCCTGCATTTCATGCACAATGAATACCACCAGGAGCTACAATCATAAATAAATATTTTACTAATGTGTCATTAAAAATCAGTTACTGCGTGCATTGTGCAAGAAATTACTAGAATAGTGCAAATATTTTGAACTTAGTAACTATATTTTATTTAACAGATCAACTTAAGGTGCATCAAGTTTCTACGAGTAGTTAGGTGTTTATTAATATGTAAATACGTACGCAACCTGCACGTTACAACACGGTACATTTCTGTCATAAAGTTAATTCAATTAGAAAACCAGAATACTTGTTAGGTTGTAAGAATAAGCTTAATATTTATTTAAAAATTATACTCACTTATCATCGTCGGCAACATCAGAAAATCTTGCTTTGGAGAATGTGGACTCGGCAACTGAATGTACTGAATGTTTTTTCACCCTTGCTGTTACTGAATCACCGTTAACGTGTGCTTTATCTATAATTTCATCATCGGAAGACATATCAAACTCAACTATTTACAGTAAAATTAACAAACATGTAAAATGATACAATTAGTATTATGCATTGTTATACGAGTATCAGAAATAAACACAGCCACAAACATGATGTCGACACAATAACTGAACACGTGTAGGTAAACACATGGACTGATCTGATTTGTACACAAATCGAAATTTCAACATTAGGGTGTCCAAAATATGTAGTTGTTGTTGTTTGTTATTATAATTCGACTATAAACTTACCATCAGAATTCAACATTGTACAATCATACGTATTGTATATCGTATTAATGGTGGTGTTGTCCGTATTTGTGATAGGTTGACTGTTTTCGAATGCATGTGCATTGTGCAGGATGGATTTCTTCCGCACCGGACCGATTTCGGCGTGTTCCGAATTTGAAGAGACTTTCCGGCTGCGCGGCGACTCGAACGCCATGTTGTCGTGTCCGCCATCATGGCGTCCGTTGTTCATTTGATCGTTGTGCGTTATGATGCTTACTTTTCGACTGTTTGGTTGTGTCGTCGGTTGTTGAGTCACCGGCGGGTCTTCTGCATCTACTGTCATCACCACTACTGATAACAAAAATTCATAAAAATTATAATCACGCTTATTTTTCGCCGATTTTGGAAGAACGTTTAAAGAGCGGATGCAATTAGGATATAAAACTCGGTCAAATCATCTTCATTAAATAAAATTGCACTACAGTTAGTGTAGGTAACAAGTTATATCCAGGCGATATGTGTTTAAAATCAAAATTAGATTTCATTGAGTGTGTCATAAAGGTATGTAAATTGCGGAAAATGCAAATAATTAGCAAATAATGCTGTGCTCAATTAAATATTGTTATTGATAGTTACATAAGTTCAAAACACCGACTTCCGGTACAATGTGGCGTGCTCGTTTTACGATGGAAACATGAATTGGGAAGTTGAAACACGTCCAGGTACATGAAGTCATAAATCAGTCCCAATAAGTGATGAAAGATCGGAAAACAATTTTGCACACATTTTAGTACTATTTTTATCGCTTTCAATATACTTATTTTTGGTGTTATTGTTTCATTTACCCATATTAACAAAATGTACCTACATTTTCTTATGTATAGGTCTTCTATACAATGTGAGTAAGTAGGTGTTTATACAAGTAATGATATCATAAACATTGGCAACCAACATTCCACAGGTAATAATAACACTACAAGAATCAACCGTCGTCAACAGTAGAAATCCAGTAAATAACGTACGTGCTTTAAATTTTTTAAATTTTTTTATACTTGTGACCTGTATTGGTTTTATGTCGACGCGCAGTGTATAATTGCGTATTGCATTCAAAACACAAAAACCGCGTGCTTCTAAATTACCTCGTCAGGTCGTCAGTGAGCAAACACAATTGTGATGAAACTCGTTCACTCGTACAATCTCAATCAACGGATTGATTACAAATGGTTGCAATCTTTACCTTCTTTATTTGCGCAAAATAATCTTCTTCACATATAAATTTATAACGGAGCTTAGCCAGGTTATAAATTTAAAAATGCAAATAAACTAATTACACATTTCCAAGTAATCAATTTTGTTCCAAAAACGTCAATTTTCTGCGGTTAATTTTATAATAGATTTGATTAAACCTTTCATCACGTTTGAGGTGTGCAATTATGTGATGAAAAGCCGGAGGTATGCGCCATATATGAACTTAGTTACACAAATAAATATGTAATGAAGCGCTTATAGTGTACCTACTGTTTACTGAGTAGTAACCAACGTGCTGTTCTATCATTTGAATATTTTTTCAATGCAGGTAATTAAACTTATCGACAGGTCGTTTACACTTTATATGCTCAGTATAAACCTACTGCGGAAACAGAAGATAGTGTTTTAGTTGTTAGCTTCTATAGTCGGATATTTATTTAAAATACTCGTAAATTCCACTTTTGTCAATTAAAAGTTATTTGTGATATAACTCTATTTAATTATCGATTGCACCTCGGACTTTCTAAATATTTATGATTTAATGACAGTAATGGTTATAGGTAATATCATGGCATTGCTGTTGCTTCTTAAATCTTTTAAATAAATAAAAATGATGAAATTATAATTATACTTCAATGTCAAGTTCAGTCAGTTTTTTTGTTATACTTTATTGATTTGTAATGCTACCTATGAGCAAGCCATTATTTTGCTTCTTCAGTTTCAATAAGCAGGTATTTTGCATTTTAGAATATGCATTATTGTAAGTCCACGTTGTGTTTTAAAGCCGAAGCGTTATATAATTATTGCAAATCGATTGAGTACAGATAATAACATTTCAATCAAATACTCCTTAAAAGTGTATAGTATCAGCCAAGACTTACACTAAATTATTAAAAAGAAAAAGAATCGAATTCATAACTTGTTAAAAAAATTTTGACTAAATAAATTGCCTCGATGGCTTTTACAAATGCTGATTTTCTTGCAACATTCTGTTATCATTAACCCTGAACCTATACTCTATAGTTTTATTATCCCATAAATATTCTATTTATACTTAATAACACAAATAACAATTTTTATTACATAAAATTACCAACCTGATTGTCTTCTTTCCCAATGCGAAAACTAAATTTGAGTTTCAGCAAAAGATCATATTTATATCTATCGTGGAAATAAATAACTATTCACTTTGATTAAATTGCCAATATCCACAATAATTTAAACTTTCCGATGAAAATTTAAACTAAGCAAAATGAACCACAAACCGCACTTGGAATATCACACGAGGGAAAGCGCCAATTGCTTCAATTGAATAATGAACGTGCAAAACTAAGCGGCGGACGCAATTGAGACTCTTTGAAATACGGACTGATCGCTTCGCCCACCTGACGTGCGACTATATATCGTTTTTGTTTATTCAAACCTGATGGGTCGCGTCTGAGCGTCGCACAACGTGCCGTACTTGTGGATATGACGTTCCGGTTACCTATTGGCGACGCGTTTGGCCGAAGCGCGGCTTTTCTGAAATTTACTACGTGAATTATATACTCGGCGCGCCTGTCATTAACGTAACAATGGGAGCAGCATTATGGTTTCCAAAAGATTTTCTTCTTTCATTAACAGACTTATTGTGAGTTAATACATGTAAATTAACCAGTTGCAGTAGATACCTTTGGTAATTAATGATCTATGCGTAAATTATTTGTAAATTATAAATATTTTATGAGGAAAACTATTGTGGCAAACTACATTTAATTGTCCATCATTTTAGTAATGTTCATTCTATTTCTACATTAAGTATTGTTAAAATTTAGGACATTTTAATTATTATAAATAAATATATTAAATATAAATCCAAATGTCTTCATTTGGCAGAATGGTATTTGATTGAACGTGGTACAGTGTTAGTGAGTATTAGAAGTTTATTTACAAAAGTAAACAATACGTATTTATAAACAATTGTACAATTACAACTGATTGGAAAATAGCGATGCAAGGAAGCAACTAATTTTTAACTAATTTGAAAACGAATGGTTTTTGTCCGATGTAGATTACAATCTATTTCTGATTTTTTTTTTGTTCTTGACACTTTTCTCTATAATCGGTTTACTCATTGCAGGAGAAAGCATATTGAGTAAGGATAAGAGTTTGGCGGTTGCTGGTTTTTGGATTATCGGGAAGGGTGGTTTAGCGCTCTGGCGGATCAGTGGTAATCTGGCAACAGCGCTATTTGGATAAGTGTTTGAAATTTAAAGATTAGTGCATGTCGAGGATTTTAAAAAATGGTGCAATAAAAATTACTTACAAAAGAATTAGAGTAAACAATTAAGTAATTGAAAGGAGACTAGAAATTCAAGACGTAATATTGCGGTTTATGATGGACATTAGAGTAGAGAAATGGATAATTAATGAAAGGGATTGCAAAATAGGTTGGGAATATTTGAAACAAATTTTGGTCAAGAGTTCGTACAAGCCTATACCAAATATAATACAAAATGATAATACACTGCTTTATTTTCATTGTCTAGCCAAATATTTCAAACATCAAAAACGTTAAAAGGTTGAAAATTGTTTTTATTATTATTATTATTTAGATAGATCAGTACCTAAATGCTTAACTTGTATTAAAAATAATTGGACAAATAAAAAAAATAAGCCAATAATTGTGCAAACTACTTCAACGGCGAAAATGCTGTAAAAGTAAATAGAAAAATATTCATATGTACTGATAATTTAAGTACTGATAATTTATTTTTTACAAAACGTTAATAACAGCCGTACTTTTCAGCCAAATTTTTAGTGATTGAAAATATTAGATAATTTAAAGCACAAATAGTGTTGTACTTTTGTCACAGTGCTACTAAACATATGGAAAAAATTAGGCGCAACTCGAATGGAAAATTTGATATCGATTGAATCATTTCTTCGTAAATTTCAAGTCATAGGTACTTTATTTTTATTTAAATATATGACACAAATGTTTTATTCTTTCTCATAATACATAATATTATAATTAGTACCTACCCATTGTTTTTATAGATTTTTGTGTTAATTGCATTTTTCTATACCTACGTATTCAATAACAAAAATTTGTTTAAGTATGTAGATATAATTTTCCATTGTTTACATTTTAACTAACTTTAATAACAACTGTCACCAAATATATCATTTTAAAGTTAATCCATTTAATCGATGTATGACCAGTCTATTTTTAGTCACCTTCTTGTTCATGCTTGACAACAGTGTGATAATATGTTTGTTTACCCAAAATTTTTAATCCAAATAAAATGTTTACAGCCAATTATTTATATTGTTTACTTTTACGTAGTTATATTAAGAAATGTTTCACGTCTGCGTGATGTGAGATCTGCATACACGTATCTACTAGGGTACGACGTCCTTCTGGAGCAGAACAACCGAAGTTACAAATTTACGACTGCATGCGCCGCTCAAAAATGCGTAAATCTACGTGTGGTCACCATGTCACGTGCTTAACGGCCATGACAAACTCATTAGTACTGTTAGCTAATAACAAAAAGTCCATCGACATGCGCCACCGTTCGAAGGTACTTACGCATGCATGTGAGTACAATTTAATATTTGATGCTCACCGCACCTGCGTTATCGATATGCCCGACGCGGTGTTTTATGCAAATTCATATCACGTGAAACGCAACAAAGTGAAACAACAAATTGACGTCAGTGATTCATATAAGGTTTTTCGCGGTCACAACTTCAAAAAATTTAAAATATTAAAAATATATAATTTGTATATTTTATGCTTACCTTTTGGTATCATTAAACGTTGCATTTTAGATTTAAATCCACTACTTTGGCATGCCTTGTGCTTGTCCCACATTTTCAAAGAAATTTACAATAACAATGATGCGCTCTCGTGAGAAACCAAATAAACACTGATTACTATAAGACCTAATTACACTTGATATAACTAATCTACAGATTAAACTTTTCTAAATTTTTGAAATTCTCAACAATCTAAAACTGATTAAAACCCGATTATTTAATAATGAATTGTCATCACTTGCAGATATTATGTTTTCAGATAGATCATGTTTTGCATTCATGATCTGAATGGATACTGTGTGCAAAACTAAACTACAATCTTCGCTATTGCAGTGCGTGGGCCCTCAACCATTATGCACATTGAGAAACAAAATGGTCCATTACAACCCATTTGGATCAATTGAAATATGAATATTTTGTGTTTGTTTACGTCCTAGCCCGAGGACAACTTAATGTCAAGATTGTACCCAATTTTATCAATTTTATCTATGTATTAAATAAATTAGACCAAGAGCCAGTGACGGCCAGACTTTCGTCATTTTAGGAAAGATGAAATTTTGTCCATGTGTTTCTCCAGCACAGGTAAGAACGATCCCCAATTATGAAACCTGGATCGTGGTTCCTTTGGCAGTTAACAGCCAACAAAGATGTACACATGATGACCTATGTTTCGTTATTTTAGCAAACTCCATTTTTGCATATTTTGTTCGTCACATTATTATAACATGCGCTGCTCATTGCCAGTCACCTGGTATGGTTCCAACCCTAGCCAGACACCCCTAAAGTATATTTTTTTTAACTTTTTTACTTTTGTTATATTAAGAAAGCTGAATTTGATACACATTATGCGAGCTATGAAACTGTGTTTTCCAGCACGCCAGACAGTTTGGTCGGTTCTATCATCCTGCCAGACGCATTGAAAGTGTTAAAAGTTGCAAAAGTTAAATTGTTTAAGCATGAAATTTTCAGAAAACAGTTATCGACGACAGTGATGATTATTATTAAATATTTGTTCAAATAAAATAACTGTTCACCAAAAAATAATTATTAATTTATTACTGGTTATCACAGCAGTTACAAATTAAAAATTTAAATTATGAATGATTGCAGGTGGGATTACGTACCTATGTATCTATATATAAATAAATGATAAAAATGTACAAAAAATTAAAAATAATTTAAATCCGACCCCATTGGTTTAAATATTTTAAAATAAATTATTGTTTGGCAAATACTAATAACGTTTTCTTGAAAGTTGAATGGAAAAACAATCAACTAAACTACACAAACAAATCAAACATGTAGATTTCGAAAATGCAGAGTAACTTATCTGATTGCGTTTAATGCTCAATGTATTCAGTGCTACTTGATTAGTAGTGATTAGAACTCAGTGGCTAATCGAGTTAAGTGCGTCTGACTACTTGCCAACAAATCACACTTTGTCGGTTTGTTATTACTGTTAGTGCTAAATAGTTTCAACGTTGTGACTCTTAAGGATTTGTTTGTTGGTCTCAAACTCTATTTAACTCAAATGCGGGTTAGACAATGTTTTTGAAGTATTTAAATAACTGAATGTATGCCACTATTAATTTATGTTAGAATACCCTATTTTTATTTGTTTAGTATAAATCAAACTTGGTTGTTAAAGCAGAAAGAATGTATTTTCCATGTTGTTTTAATATGTAAATATGTTCAGTGAAAATGTTGGCTAGTTAAAAGTAAAATTAAAAACAAAATTGACTTGAGATGATAACGCGTCCATGTCAGGTATGTTTAACATTTTGAGATAGGTATTTTCTGAAATACCGTTTTGTCGTAACTTTTGAATTCACTGTAATGTTTATCATATTTTAATACATTAAAACAAGTGAAGTGTTGTTACGGAATGATCATGTTTATAACTAATTAACGAGGTCACCTTTGTAGAATGAGCTATGATGTATATTATTGTTTTGTGCTCTTTTTTTACTTCCTGATATTACTATGCTTACTCTTATATTAGCGTTTCAACTGGGGGTTTAATTTCATGTAAAAGATGTTCGAATATGCATTGTTATGACCTGCAGTTTGCGTCATGTCTGTAATACAAGCAAGTTTTTGTTATCAAATGTTGTATATGCCAGCGTTCAACTTACAACACCTACAATTCAATTTACATTGATTACAACCAAATTGACTTAAACTTGCTTGCCTAATAGAAAAATATGACACGTTTGGTACACATGGCTGAGAATCCTTTTGTAAAGAGGATGTCATAATGTATGTCAATGTCATGAAAAGTGTCTGTGCACTCGATAAAGATTCTGATTCCTGATTATTCAATTCATACACACTTGAACCACAGACCGTTTGTTTACATTAGGAACTATTTTCCAGTTTTAATGGAACATGGACACAATGTGTTAGTTCTATCATATCTGAGATTACATCTGCAAACTTTATCTAATAATATATTTGTATTACCTATAATTGCAAGTCTGCGTCATTGTTATCGATGCCTAACCGTGTAATGATGCAGATAAAACGGTTTGTTTTAAACGATTACAAATTTTATTTTTATGATATACACTAGCATTTTGGTTTGCCTATATTAAATGAGCACATAGGTTTTTCGAAAAGCGTTATAAACCTTTAACTATACACAAGAAAATCGTCACGAGTGCGATTGGCTTTTAATGTCAATTTATAATGTAGGCAACACACACTGTTAGACAAACCGAGTATGTATGTATAATGCACTTTTCCGAGAAATAAATTACAACTTCAAGCACAAGTAAATGGTTGGTTGATGTATGTATTTAAAAAACAAGATTTAATTGCTAATTGATTGTATTACAGTATTTAGCAAATTGTGTTGGTGACAGGTTCAAGGATAATAATTATTAACATTTAATTTACCTGGTTTTAAATAAACAATTAACTAAAAGTAAAAATCAGAAAAAAAAAACTGTATGCTAAATATAAGTTACAGTAATTTTAAGTATAGGTAGCTTTGGTAAAAATTGAGTACAATGGTAAATCACAAAATGCACACTAGTTTTATATAATAATGTATTTATTATGCCATAAGTATATTAAAATGATAACAGTAATAATAATATCAGATAAATGACATCAATATAAGATGCATTTGAAAATGTTTCAATTTGTCTCATGGATTCTGAGTAATATTAGATTTAGTTCAATCAAATAACAAAACAATCGTTAAAGTATTGGACATTAATTAAACAAACATGTCGCTAACAGGCGCGCACTTCTTAAATGCTCAAAATTCCATTTTATGTGTTACATTTTTGTTTGACATATCTCAAAACCACTTATTATCCATACCAGTGCAATGTCCATGTTATGTTCGTTCAATAATCCGTCGTACTGAATAAAAACTTTAAAATACATACTAATGAGTAATTTACAGCATTTAAGTATTTTAAAAATGTCTACAAGACGACGTTTTTGTTCGAATCACAAATCACAAGTCTTAATGATCTTCAACATGATTTTCGCACTATATTTTCCCAGTACCTGTCAATGAAAATGTTTATTTGGCAGTAAGTTTGCACTCTTCTAGGACTACAATTCCGTTTCAACAAACACAATGTTTTGATTGTCTTTAATATATTACACGGGTGTTCAGGTTGGAATGTTTTGAAGATCGATTGACGAAAATCAAAATGATTCGTAATCATAATTTCATTCGCACCATAAATATCAGTATCTATTACAACTTGGTTTAATTTATTAAAATGTTGGAAGCAAACTCAATTCCATTTTGTTGATGTATTAGATTTATTTCAATGTAGTTTAACGTTTAGTATTTTAGTTTGCTAGTAGGTTGACACCGGCAAATTCATTCTGCCAAGAGTCATTAACCTATTCATTCTCGAATTAATTCAACTAGAAATCACAGTTTTTATTTTTACATTTCTCCATCCATTGCATCGACTGCAGTCTAAACTGAGATTTCTTGTATCTGGACGCGCTTTTTCATCGTGCCAGGGGTAGTGGGTGCGTTCCGCAAGATGCCTTGATTATTACCCATCGGTGGCATATTTTTTGGCGGCGGTGGCGGTTCCGGAATACCGGGGCTAGTCATCACGTCGCTACTGTTGCAGCAGTTAGCCCCGCTTCCGTTATTGGTGGCCATAGTCTGCGTATCTTGCGACGTCATCGTGGGGGCACGCGTGGTGGCGATCATAGCAGAGCTTGTCACATCCGGGGGATGATCCGCCATGCTCCGCTTCACGCCCGACGGCGGCGACGCCTGGAACTCTTGCAGCGGCAACTGCGTCATTTGGACATCGGCCAACGACCGTTTCTCGATGTAATGCTGGGCGCTGTACTCCCCGATAAAGTTACTCAAGTCCTCCTTGCATTCGAAGCTGCTGTTGAGATCGTATTTACCACCACCCCGCCGCCGCCGCCTCCACTACCACCGTCGTAACCGCTCGGCCTTCGATCGAACATTCGTTTCGTCTCGTAAGCGTCCCCCGGAGACGACGAACAACTACCTGCTTCTAATTCTTCTTTTTTTCGTTTCGACCTGCCTCGATCACGTTGATGATAGATTCCAGCAAAGATGAGAATGTTGAGCAGAAGGAGAAAGCAACCAACCGCGATTGTGACCGTCAGCGCTGTCGTGTAGCTCTGGTAGTGACTGGACGCCAATTTTCTGAGCAAATTATTTTTGTTCTGATTGTGCAAGTTCTGCTGGTTTTGCTGCGGGATGACGTAGCTGGCGTTAGGGGTGCACTCGGTCGTTGTCGCTTGTAGTGCGGTATCTGATTTCGGCGGCGATGGCGTTGCCGAAGTGGATTGCACGATGGGAAGTGGACTCGTCGTCGGTGGTTGCAATGCGACGTGCGAAGGCCGTTGCATTGTTTGCGGACGAACAAAACCTAAAACGAAATTGATTAACAACTCGCTTTCCGCTAAGTCAATTACCGCATACAAGGTGTACAATGAAACGAAACAAATCAATTCCAATCGGGAATCTGGGAGATACGTTCCTGGGTAATGCAATAAATTAAGTTTGTGTTAGTTATAGTATTTTGCACATTGCAAGAATTAAAAGAATTACACTAACGGCACGAAATGAATTTTACAACGTTTAGAAATACCTGGTGGAACTGCTCGAGGAGAAAGTAGCCATCGAATACAAGTACAAACCCGGAAGGCAATTAACAGAAAGTTACGGACATTTATAATGAACAAAAGGGGTTGACTCACGGACGTTTGCTTGGCTGTACTTCACTAGTTGACGTGGAAATTCGATTGACTAGTACAATTAATTAAAGATAGCCTAGCGTTTCGAAAATATTTGGAAGTTTCTAAATTGTTTCTCTTTTAACTAGAATAACGGCTGCTAAGGGAATTGTGATGGAATGCACGAAAAATAAAATCAATCACATTCTTTACGCATCAGAGCACATTTTACGCTAGATTTGCATACCATCGTAATATTGATCCCCTTCTTCTTGGAAGTGATGATGTCTCATAGATATGTCGTCTCCTTCGCCGGGTCGGTGCAATTGCGGTATTAAATTTAACCAGAGCGACATTTTATGCCCCCGGTAGTGGTTCCTAATTTCCGCTTTATTTCCTACAATGTAAAAAATTATTATTTTCTCAAATCTTTTTAAATTAAAACTGCCAAAATCACATATATCATAAATCACAACGATGCCAAAAAAATCAATAAGGCCAAATTACGTGAGCTTTTTGGAAAAAATAAAGCTGTAAATTTGTGTAGTTTTCGTTTCGGGATATTATTTACGTCGACGTTATATTTTAAATTTACTTTTTGACATTTTCACAAACACAAACTAGTTTATATGAAAAGCATCTTGTGCGAGGGATATTTGTGTGCATTGTAAAATGCGCCGAATAATGCCAAAAAAGTTATAATGAAATTTTCGTTTTTGGCACAAAATTTCATGTTTTCCCACACTTTTTATCCAAATAGTTAAAAAAATACAACGTAATCATTACGCTACTCCAACAGCGTGTTTAAATGATGATAATAAATAATCTGCAATTATATGTTAGCAACGTTTGAAATCTGAAGTTTTATTTAATTAATTTGAAAGAGTTATGAGGTCACACCGACATCAGGAGACCTACTAAGATCGGAAGCTCAGCGCCTAGCGCTTGTATTAGTCACATTAATCAAGATGTGCAAAAGGCTTGATATTAAAAATGCCTCATGACTCTCTGCGGACCGCTGCGCAGCGCACGAGGCGTTTTTGTTCTCACGAATCACGAGTGGATCTCTAGATAATTGCGCGTTTGCTATAAAAAAGACAATGAGCACGAGAGTAGGTAATCAATAACAAACTAACATGCAGTCTTCTGTCGCGTTCACGACTTACACAACGAAAATTTTCAATCTGTAAGTATGTACAAGTATCCCCTCGCAATCTCGACTTTTAAAAAGGTATCGGTTATGGGTTTGCGGGCGACATCGCTTTTAAGTGCGCTCAGACTTTACTTTCCGCATTATAAATTTGATTTACGTGAGCCGCCGCCAAACACTTTGCGCAACTAATTGAAAATTCCATCTTACACGTTTTAGTCGAATTGAAAAGCAACCTGCCTACGCGGCGATATTTTAATCTAATAATTTGCGTGAATCTCGGCTACTTGCTCTTCTTTTCCCCACGGCAGACGCGCAGCTTTTAAACAACAACACATACACGTCGTCGCATCCATCATTGGAGCTTTTCGCGGTTTAGTTCACGCAGACTACGACGCGCAAAACAGGCTTGGCACGGTGGAAGTGAAAACCGTGAGCGTCCGTTAGGGCGGCGACATCATGGAAAACGCTCCGACGATTTCTCTCATATCTTTGCCTCCGCCTCCAAGCGGCCGCATTACTTAACATTCACCAAGGACGGTCATGCTGCGAATGGAGGCGAGCGTCATCCGGTTGATTAAGTGGTGAAATGCTGGGCAGGCGAAACTAATTGATAGCGACGTTATGGGTTTACATAAATTACGCAAAGCGCGTTGCTGCCAGTTCGAACGGTGACGGCGTTTGTTCTCCTGCGTGCCGATCCATTACTTTTCATATTGTCCTGACTACCCGCATCGGGAGCCGAGAGTGAAAAACTTTGAAAGTCAACCACGATTATATTCCATATAAATTTTGGACCCTACCTATGAGACGCCTTTTTGGTTTTTTGTTCACATAGAAAAAGCGTGGTTTCATTTCCTGGACGACCCTGAACACGGTCACTAGATCACATAAATATGCAAAAATTTTGCAAGTATCTCAAGTCTCTCGTGAGATTGACATTACCATATTCGTTCATAAAATATAAATCATCTAAAAGTTGAACACATCATTTATCTCCCATCGTTATTTCACACTTAAATTCTCAAAAGAAATGAACAGAAAATTTTCTGTATTTATTTAAAAAAAATAAATCACTTGCCTAATTCCAAGTAAAGTTGATTTATTGTATCATAGGTATCCCAAAAAGGTGCTACCACATCGTCCATATTGTTCTTGTCATTTGGATCTCGCCGCATGTTTGTCGCAGACTGTGATGCACCATTAGGATCACTGCAAGAGTAAAAGGCATCAATCATAAAAAAATCCAACAAAGATTGAAAAAAATGACGATGAAATTATCTGCGAAAATTGAAAAATAATATCGCAAATGATGTTATTTAGTAAATATTCACTTTGATCGCAATTACGTCGTAGTGAAACGTAACATTCGAGGTTGATCAGGAAAACGCAGAAAAAAGGAAAGCAAAATCGAACCGAAACGAACTAATCTAATATTATATCGGCTATAAACTCCACGGTAAAGGCGAACCGAGCAGTTTACGATCAAATTTACAATTTAATATAATATTATATAAATATTGGGACATAAAGTTGCTCTCATATTTTATATGTGTCTCAGTTATGTGCCGCAACTGGACGCGTAGATAGACGCACCCGAGAAAATGAAAATATCTGAAAATACTCTGCTGTCTAAATTGTCCTATATTTATATCTACTTTTTTTTATCTTCTTTTGCGTATTCGTTGATAAGGTTTTCGGTGGAGTATTTTCTCTTCGATGCAGAGCACATATATGTTCCTACAAGCGTTCACCCTCTTTAGAACTTGATATATTTTGAGGAATATAAGTATACAATCTCAAAAGAGTTTGGGATCCAAAATTGTGACAAAGATGGAAAGTTGCCGGTATAACTTGATTTTAAATGCAGTGTAGCATCTTTGTAACATAAATATAAAGGTTTTAACTAAAGGTGTTTTTGTAGTTTTCGAGGGATGAATCTACTTTGTACCTTGCGCACGATAAAAATAGATGAGCCCTACGCGCGCGTTGAATAAGAGACGAAATAAAACAACTTACCCTTTTCTCGCAAAGTTGCTTATGTAGTGCATCAACATCTTGGATATCTGCACATCGGAGTGCGTATAGTTGTGAGGGAAAAAAGTACCGCCGTTTACCAGTGGCAGGCCCAAGATATACGGTATGTCCTCTCCTCGTACGCTTCCGGACCTCTGCGATAAATATATAACACACACGCATTGATCAGGCATAACGGCGGACACATCGTATCCTAAATGTAGGTATAGAAATGACTACAGCTTAAACATTTTTTTTCGGGACGGTATGGAAAAAAAGGAAAACGCCCTCACGCTGAAAAAGTGTTTGAGCCCAAACTGCTCTCCCTCCCCTGGAGAAAATATATGTGAACCATGAAGATTATAGCTGCTTTGATAAGTCATAAAAGATGAAGCGTAAATGACCAAAAAGTGAAAAATGCGCCGCCGCTTTGAACCAGAATTCTACTAGTATCAGCGTGTTCAGAGTATTTATCGCAAAATCATAGTGATTTCTCATTTTATATAAAGCTATGGTGAAAATTATAACTTACAGTAAATAACATGTCAAAGTAATGATGCGGTGCAATTTGTTCTTTGTCAAAGCATTGTCGACCGCATTCAATGAAAACAGTAATTACGATTGTAATATCAAAGAAAAATAATAACACTAATTAGTGAAATAAATGTTCCTGTCACACACACTCAATTATCACAAATCACTCACTGTCAAAAACCATTAGTTTCCTATTATTTCTATTCCTAATAAATTATTAACATGGATCAATATACTAGTAGTTAATAGTTTTATGTAATCAAACTGCAGTTTTTAATATGCCATGAAAATTAATTGGTATTAAATAACATGACTTCATAAATGTCACAAAATTGATCACAATTTCCGTGCTTTGCTCAGATTCGGAAAAAACCTCGTTCGTGAAATTTGGTTCAGTGTATGAAATTGCTTTGTAAATCGATTAACACCAGTTATTTTGAATTTTCGATGACGGTATGTGCTACATATTGAAATTTGATATCAGCAATAGCACACTATAAATTCGGGATTAAATTGCAGTTACAATTTTTTAAATAAAATGTAATTTTGCGTTTTCGGTTGATGTTTTATCTTGGAAAATGTAAGTTACCTGTTTTGTGAATACGATTTAAGTATCAAAACCAAAAAATAATTGCTTCCGTTCAAAAAGTACTTCAGTGAAAAAAAAGCTTTTGATTTGACACATAGGAACTCATACGCAACATAAAATCCTCTTTCACAATATAGATTGTTTATACATATTTACGACTTCATCAGACTTTATATAGACTTAGATATTGAAACACTTTATGCTCTCTGCGGCTTGATTGTTTTTCTTTAATAGGCTACGAAACGATTCATAAATTTTAATTACTCCATCAACGTGCTTTTGTTGGCGTGTTTTTCTGGTGGAACAACACGCATGTAGCGATAATTACCTGTGGAAAGTCCCTCTCGCCGCTCTGGTGATGAAAATGTAGAAAAAACGTTTTCCCCCCACGCAGCGCATGCAAATAGCCGATTCGAATGAGCGGAGCCGCTGTGTGGCCGTCGCTCAGCACCTCCAACGTGGCATCGCGCACACTCAGGGGATTCTGCATCGGCTTCTCCCAGTCGGTGTACTCGTTCTTCAGCGTCGAGAATATCTCGTTCAAGTGATAATAGTACGAGTTACGCACATACGTCCGCAAAACTCTATCGCGTCGCGTTTCGTTGAACCCGAACTCCAAATCTTGCGCACTCAGATCCAGATAGGATTCTGTCGATGTCAGTCCGAATAATAGATCCCGGTCGCGAAAATCAGCCAATTCGTAACCGACGCTGGTTGCCACCGTCGACGTTCCGGTTGAGGCGGGCGGACTTGTCGGATTCAATAAAATGGTTCCGTCGATAAACGGTGCGAAGCCGGGTAGGAATCGCGGTGGCTCCAAGCTGACCTGCAAAAGCATTTCGATTCTAAGCAATTTACATGCGGTAATGTTCGAACCTATTCCCAACTTTTTAGCTTCGACACATTAATGTGGATTAAAATTACAGAAAAAATATACTTTAGTTGATTTCAATGAGCTCTTTATTCTCGCATTTGCACTTGGCGTTTATACTCACCGATAACAGCTGACTTAATGGTTTTAATCTTAAACAAGGCGCCAAATCGTCTTCCAGTAAGTCGCCATGACAACCGGTGTGCTCTGCCACTCTCCGCTTCACAAACAAAGGATCGCGTTGCATTGCCCAAGGACTTAGGCCAGAACCACTCAGCAATATGGTGCGATGAAGCAATTCTGAAAGACAAGATAGAAGAAATTTTTTATTCACATGCCCAGTGTTTTCATTAACATAAAATTCAACAAACGGATTCGCTGAACATCCGATTCATCCGACGATTATAAACCACGTTTGGAGGCAAGTTATCCACGCAAGTTTGCCAAAGAATTGTCATAAATCTATAATGCGTCGCATTCAGCCGCCAACAAATCGCATTCAAGTTGGTGGAAGTTTACGCCATACTGATTCAACAAATGGGAATTTTAGTGTCTACCGATAAAGAACGCGGAACAAACAAAAACAAAGTTTGTCCTTAATAAAGCATTCATCGAAATAAGAAGCAGACAATTTTAAATTGTACATTTTAACAAATATTTTGATAAGTAATACTAATATCAATCTACTTGGTTTCCATGTACAGAAGTTATTCAGAATGCCCCTAGCTATTTCTACACTTTAGTTATATGATACACATTTGCATGCAACTTCATGAAGCTCAAGTTCCATCCCGCAAGCGTTCAAATTTTATTTCACACTTTGCTCCAATTCACATGGAACCCAGGAACTGGTAACGTCCGTTGGATACGTAGCGAATTAAATAGCCACTAATTTGATTATCAGTGACAAATTTTAAATCGCGATTGTTAGAAATCGCCAGACTGAATAATGCAAAATGCGAAATACCTGCGAACTGCTGCCCGAAACGCATTTTACATATTTAATGCGTGACTAATCACCGGTCGTTCGCCGTCGAGCACGGCGAATGTATTCACGGCTGTATTAAATCGAATTATTCGCGGATAATTTGCATAATATAATACCTGGGCTTTTGGCTGCCGACGCCGAACTCTCCAACTCACCACAAACCTCGCATTGTCCGTAAAGTCTGACACACACACACACACACACATGCACATATTCAAACAATACCTTTATCGGTGCGTCATCGATATTGCGTTCAAAGCATCCGTGCATAACCACTGCGGGTGCTTTCCTAGCCCTACGCGCAAATAATTACACCCTCCAGTCTTTCATAACACATTAATGTGGATGGAGTTCAAGCTTGTTTGTGGCTTGATGTTCTCGATGGCAAGTTGCGTTCGCATTGTATGCCAAAATGTGTGATATTCGCTGGGTTCAATTTGTTTGTATTCGGCCCAGTAAAGTTATCTGCGCCATAGGCATGACTGCATTCGACAATGGATGCGGTTAAAGATAGATATACGAATCTGGCCGCCTCTCCTAGCTTTCAATAGTTATAGTCTGCCCCAGAAAACTCTCCATAGAAGTTGCAAAGTTGCGGTGATGTTCGCGCCCTTCAACCTTCAACTGGTTCGATTTTTGTTTTATTTGTCCGATGCGAAACTAATAAATGTGCAAACATATCAAACGTCACATTCGAATGTCTCGGGCGTGCTGGAGCACTTTGAAGGGATGAAAAAAAAAGAGGAAGTAAAAAACGAAACCTGTAATGCATAGGTATAGATTTTTTCTCCGACTAGGCGTCAAGGCTGCCAAAGATGCTGGCGGCGACGTGCACGCACGAACGAGCAGATAAATCGCAGCGGCATCATCCGTCTCGTTCGTGCCGGTGACAATGTCGGAAATCTGCGCGCCATTCACGCGGCGTTCTCCGCTCGCCTGGAGGCGCTGCTAGGTACACTCCAGATTAATACAGCTGCCTGTCATTTATCTACGGGTCGTCAATAAGACTGAATGCTTTCTGCTCCTCGCTTCGTTGCCGTTCGTTGTCGCCACGGCGCCTTCTCCTTAACTACTTCAAGCGTGTACTTGTCATGCATGTAGGTAAATACGAGACGCGCGTGGTTCAGTAGTGCGCGCGGAATTACACCCTGGTTAATGAGACATACACATAGACTACATGCCTGCATGTCACCAGACTATTTTCCAGCGTATAAGGTCTACGATTTTATCATTTTCATCCAGAGTTAAAATAATAGATTAATTAAAATATTTAATTACGTTGTTTTAGCTGGGCTTCAATTTGTAGTAGGGTTTCATATTATGTGCAACTCTTGTAAAGCTTCATTGTACAATAGTCCTAGAGTGAGATCATAAATAATTTCGTTGTAAACAGTCCCATAACACACTACAGTTCGCTCCCATTACAATAAACTTTTTTCAACCCCTGAAGTCCCGTGTATTCAATTCAATTGCACTTACAACTCTCGAATTTATCATCTCGTTGAACCGCATGGCCATTTTTCAATTAGATGCTTGTTTTACAAATACTTTATTCGATGATACCCTCTCGAGCCAAAAACTGAAACGGGCGCATAAATCTAGGAATTCTGCTGTACCTACTCCCGTCAAAATTACTTTAAAATTTTACGACAGCCTTAAATGTAAAATCCCCGAGAGGCGGATTGTTGCCACTGGTGCCTTTCGTTTTTCGTAGGCATTTTGAACCGTCCTTTGGATTTTTGATGCATCCGGCGCGTTTGTTGATGCGATGCGGAATCCGTATGTTAGTAAGACTTTAGGTCCTACTCTAAATTCGTTATTCGTTATTCCTTAAAGCCGGTTACGTCCGTCCTTTCAATCCGACTGTCCATATTGTTGGCTTAGGCGGATATGCGCTGCTCATCTATCTTCGTCCTGCGTCCACGCGCTTATAGATGAGAGAGGTAAAAGCGACGCGCCTAAACTTAACTCGACGAGACCTTTGTGTATCTGCCGCGCACGTTGGATACTTCGTTTCTTATTGCCATCATCGCTTTTGGCTTCATGCAAAGTCTCGTTTATATCGGCGTGCTCCTTTTTCCAAACAGCAAACGCGCATCGCAGAACAAGAAGAAATACCTTATGACAAATGTGTTTTAGATCCCGCATACCTACAGGCTGGCACACATGGATTTAGATGATTGTAGTTTTTCTTTCAGGCATTAGGTGGCATAAATCACACTATTTTCCGAAATATATCAGATGCAAAAATAGTATTCTATAGTTAAGTATATGAAAACAAACATCATAACAAAGTATGAGAAATAAAAAGATTAACGTCACCTTATATTGATTTTTTTACGGAAATCCAAACCAACCGATTGTTAAGCATGAATTGACAATATACACAAAAAGCTAGTGTTTCAGTTGCAATTTCACTGAGTAGATGTGCAAATATAACCGAAAGTTTTGAGAAAATTGATTAGCAAAGTTTGTTTTTATTTTGTAGCAAAAACCCAAGACCACAATGGATTCCTAAAAAGTATTATTTCAATCTCGCATACTTTCTGGCTTCACTTTAGTTGTTTATGGTTCATCGAGCTTTGTCAATCACTTGGATCAAAGTTTTAGTTCCACGCGTTCATTCAAGGCCCGCTGGTGTATTAAGCGCTAGTGGCAGAACGTTTCGTAAGCCAAACGCGTTTCCTGCTGAGCCCGGTGACGGACGGACATATGTGAAATGCGACTTGTTTTGGTTCGGTCCCTTGCACTTCGTACTTCAAACCAATTAAAAGTTTTCCCCGCAGGCATCCACCATCCACCACTTTCCGCGCGCCAATCTAAATCTATATATCCAAACTTTCCCAGATACTAACTACTACTACGGCAACCCGCAACTATTCCTAGAAACGCTCGGCATATTATAATTCACCATCTTGAAATCACGACACTCGTATCGCTCAGCATGTAAATGTTTGCCAAAAAGCTTTCTGTCTTCTCTATTGAATTTAATCTGAATGAATCAGCGGGGAAAAATCTCCTTGCCTTCAAATGTGCGAAATACATTTGGGATAAATGAATCCCCAGGTTTGTAATCTCACTTAATTCGATTAGTTTATTGAAACACGGTAATGAAGAGAAAATGATGAAATATCATTTTAATATAAGCTTTCTCCGGTTAAGAAGATCTGTTGGCTCTTTTCAATTTATAGCATCCACCTTTGTTACCTTACGAAATAGATTCCCACAGCAAGTGGCTGCCTGGGAGGAATTAAAGTAGACTAAAAACCTTCGCATTCCGCCGAAATGAAAACTTCCTTTTCCGCGAAAATATTTATTCAAGGAACCCTTTCTACGCAGCCCACACGCAACCTCCTTCGTTCCAACCGCGGCGGCATGATGTTCCGTTCGTTTCGCTTGTTCCCGGTGCCTTTTGAGCTGCGACTAAATGCGTGTCTACTCCATGCTCGAAATTTAATGTTTTGTGCAACTTTCTACGGAAGCGGGGCCAAGTAAAATAAAGACACGAAATTTATGGCTTGCGTACGGCGCGCTGTATGTTGCAAAATGAAAATTAAGTTAATATAATGCCACATACATTTGGTCCTTTAGTTTATCCCGAATGCGCGCACACATCCGGCCTGTTACATGCTGTACACACCTTCTCCGAGGTATATTAATATCTCACACCCGCATGAGCGAATGCGAAGAAAAGTTGGCGTTTTGTTGCGAGTGTTTTCCACTGATATGATTTGCGTACGTACGTAAAATGTAATTTGCGAACTCAGAGAGCTGTTACCATCTAGCATGGCACTTCAATTCATTTATTCTAATTAAATATGTTTTCCACTTTCTTGTACGCATAGGATACGCATAACAACAATATAGAATTTATAAAATTTACTAAATTATACGTTGACATGCAACAGTATACTACTTAGTCATAGTTTTGTAGTTTTCAACCCAAATTTAGATTTCTTACATGTTAAAATTGTATAATTAGATTTAAAGCAAATAAGGTGATGTTAAAAAAGAAGATTTTTGATACCTTTGGCAACAGGTGAGACGGCAATGAAGTTGACAAGGGCGGCGCCGGTTCCATGGCCCATTAGTGTGACTCTCTCGGGATCACCGCCGAAAGCGTCTAGATTCTCTCTGAGCCAGTGTAAGCCGGCGACCAAGTCCATTAGTCCGAAATTCCCTTGCGCGCTACCCTTAGTGCCAGTCTTTAGGAAACCTGCAAACGAACGCAAACAACAATATGTGAGATTCAACTCGTTTGTTCCGCCGCATGAATATAATATCACACGATAAGTTTGTGTAGGAAAGCGACGTCTTGAGTGGGCGACTTTAATTAAAATGTTTGTTGACTCGCTGGAAACTACTGAAAAGTAACACAAAAAGTTACAAAAAGCAAAAGAAAACCAAGTGAAAAGAGTTTGGTTGAACAGAATGATGAGAGTTTTGTAGCAAGGGTAAAAAGGAATTGACCGTAATATTTACCGACTATTAAGGAAGCTATTAGAACCACGATTAACGTGTCTCTCGCCCTTCTTTTTTTCTCGAGCATCATTTTTCCATTTTATTCTCGTTTACATTTTTTCATTGTGTCCGCCTACTCCAGTTACACTTTACATTCATGGCTATACAGGCAAGTGGCGCGGTTGCGTTTAAAAGCTATTTTGAAAACTCATAGAAAGCTCATTTTCTTCGCACGCCCACACCAACTATTCTCGATGGCAGCACGACTGATTTCGTATGTTGATTTTACGCCTTTCATGCGCCCAACCTGAATCGCGTGTATTGTGTTACATGTGTTTCTTGTTTGTACCGTTTTCGCCGACCCATCTGCTCGGCGCAACCACGTCCGCCTCGGCTTCGCGACCAAACTTACTGAAGTGTGCGCGCGGTGGTTAAAAATTCATCGCGTTTTTTTCTTCTTCCGCCATATGCGGCCCCCGTATTTGCTTCAAGTTGGCGCGCGAGACTAATGTTCGCATGCTGTATGTCACGTAGCAATTCGCTTTTGAGTCGGGCAGTGTGTGTGTACGCGTGTAAAAGCGAAGGAAGAACGGCTTCAATGTGTTTGCGGTAAGCTCACCACCCCTCGGACAAAAGCTTTCGCGTTGATACGTGCTGAGTGTTTATGACCCGCTTTTTATTTCGTTTAATTGTTGTTCATTGTGTAACGCGAGAGTTTTTTTGCTTGCCTGGCGTCCGCTGTCACATACAAATTGAGAGAAAAAAGGAGGAGTAGTCGTGTGTAGATGCAAAATGAAAGCTCGATCCCAATGTTGCGGATTTTGCATCTTTTTGTCCGCTAGTCGCGAATGTAAAAAGAAAAACACACTCGACGCTTTCAGAAGCAACGTGTAAAAAGTTAAAGCTTTTGGAAAATAGAATTTTTAATTACCGTTTAAGAGCTTTTCCCTCAAGTGTAAATAGATTTTTTTCAACTATTTTATATTTTATTTTATATTAGCATTTTAGAAAGCTTTGAAATGTAAAAAGAAACACAATTCTTCAAATATAAAACACGTTTTGAATGCATACAATTTCCTGCCATAAAATATGGCGAAAAATGTAACAATAGAAATGCAACATTTGTTATGTGCACAACGACGTGCATTTAACATTTGCAATAACGCTTGAAATCACATGTTAGATTCAAGAAAACTATACAAATGCTTCGACCAAGGGAGCTGCTGTTTGATTTGTAAACCTAGAAAAGTATCAATTTTTATTGTTGGAATGTTGCAGAAAAATATTGCGACAACGCGATGGCTGTCTATATTAAGAGTCTCGAAGGGTTGCTTGTATGCATACGAGTAGTAGATAAAGTGGACTAAAAAGATTACGTTCGAGATGACAACGGCGGAGGAAGAAAGCGGCCATAAAAGAAAAGAAAAATTGCTGAATTTGCGGACTGTGCACTTATTTTTCACTATGAGCTATATAAGCTCCATAAGCGTTTTATGCATGTATTCGTTTTATCGCGCGTGCTGTAGTTTTCCGTCTAAGAACAATATGGACTGAGTCTTATGTTGCGATTCTCACCACGAAAAATTGCACGTACACGGTATTTAAAAATGTATTCACTTTAATCCGGTCTTTAATAATGGTAGAATTGTAGGTAGTAAATCTTCGGGTTTATGTAAACTGGGTACATTTGCTTAGGATCGATTAAAGCGTTTAAATTGACATTAGGTTTTTGTCTCTGTCGACTCAAGTCTGGCTTGCAAAGCAATTTGTGTATTAGCAAGCTGGCAACCTGGTGTAAAAACCTAACTGGCAATTTTTAGTGCCCTAGGCGTACTGAAAGCGTATCTATCCTTGGGTTATCTGTAAAATTGTAGAAATGTTGCTCTTGGAAGCACCTAAGTGACGCGCTCAGGCGCGCTAAAGGATAGCGACGTGCACGTATGTACGGTGACTGGTTTTGCGCGTGCACCTTGTACATATGCATATGATATTTGAATTTGAAATATATTCCGACGACGACGCAACTGCCGCCAACCAACACACGAGGATCAATCCGGCACATCGGGGCAATGGCTCTCGCCCGATGCTATCGCTTGCAGCATCGTCGCCGCATCGAATTTCATGGTGCGCTACGTTTTGCCACAACCGACCGTCGTCATTTGCAAATCCGCTACGACGGCATCAGGGTCCAGACGGCTGTGGGGAGCCTGGAGTCTGTTTTTGAAATTCTAACTAAATTTCCGCTATTTACTCTTTGAAAGCTCCGGAAAGCTTCTAATACTATTAGTTCATTGGTTCAATATATTTATTTATCATTAAATAACTTTCATTTATTACTGCCATTCTTTGATATTATAGGCGCAGATGTAAAGTGCTGCAATTAAATGATTAATTTATTTAAATGTTATTAAAACACTGCAGACATAAAAAAAATGATGGCAGAACCAATTTAATATCCAATATTGTTTAGTGTCGCAAAAAGCATAAACTTAAATATAAACATAAAACGATGCACGTACTCAAAAATTCGTGAAATAAAATAGTACTCACATGTGCATGTAAATTTTATATGCAATGTGCGCCTAGGCCAAGGCATTTAATATTCTTCGACCAACTTGCCGGAATATAACATCGCAATATCATGTAGGTAAAATGAGGAAAATATTACAAATATTTGAATATCAAAAAGATATACAAATTAGAATAAAATATACTGTATGGCATGTTTGAATTTTTCAATAGTATGCCAAAAGGTATGTTAATCATATTAGGGGAATATATACGTTAAATATAATTAATGCAATTTCCAGTATTTTTGACAGTAAAGTAGACGTATCAACATTCAATAAGCAGTTTATTTTGTGGTAAAATAAAATAATTAATTGAATTATTTAGAATTATTATTTAATTAAGTTGAAAAGCAAACTGGAAATACAATTTGATTTAACGGCGTAAAATATATTGTGCAAATAAATATGTATTTTATATCTACAAGTAGGTACCTAAAATTCTGTTCTGAGTTTCTTGATTTTTGTTGCAGACTACATCTTGCGAAAAACTTCTTCGGCAATTTATATCCGCATCGGTTTCATATGGTTGGAATACAGTCGCGCACTTAGAAATTATAATACTTAACGCTAAACTCAAATCAATTGAATTATCCACATTGACTCGTTTGTTGCATAGACTTTGATTAACGCATTAATGTATTAAAAGCGGAAATTTATCACAACATAGTGATAACTTTTTATTCTTTGGTACTTGACGTTTTCTGGTTTTGTGCTTGACGCCAAATATTCAAAAAAAAAACAAATCTTACAATTACTATAAGTATATCGCCCCTACCGTTTCCTGCGTTCTTCTTTATTCTCACTGTGTGGCATTTACTTGTATCACTAACGATAAATTACATGACGATAAACCTCTGAACCACTGCTCTAAAGACACGAATCAACGTTTTGCTCTTGGGGAAGAGGCGCTAATTATTTATGATCAGTGACATACTCGCTCTTGGCTGATCAACTGAATGTCGTTAATTTTGTCAATTTTTACTAATATTTGACTTCGCGCAATCGGCATTTTCAGTGTGTTTGTGTTTCAGTATATGTATCAACGGGTTTTACACATGCGTGCGGTGTTGTTTGTTTTATTAAGATTGGGACACGTTACGCTTAAGCGGCTGTTGTTGCAATGTCGAAAATGCCTATTTAGCGAATCAAGAAGAGCGAGAAGTAAAAACATTTTTTTAAACTTTATCTTTTATGTCAACATGGTGCAGACTGCCAGAAACATGAAAAAGAATAATCCAATTTATTGCAGTGGTTCGGGTGTGATCTGATTACTTACATTAAAGCGATTATAAAATTTCAAAAAAGTTATTTTATTTTGAATGATTGCTTATTATTTACGAGTATTTCGAAAACAACTCTTAGATAAATCAAATAAATAAATGATGAAAGAGTGTTTTCGATGCCTCTTTAGTATTCTATTCGCGCTGACTCTTAACAAATAAGTCGTGTGTGTTTAGTTGTAGGCGACGATGTTAAGATCAGCAATTATACTCGTAGTACATCATTCTCGATTGGTTCTTTTAATTTTGATTCCCTGCGGCAATCGTGCGGCATCCAATACGTGTGGAATAAAAATTAGGCGAATGCCTTTCCACTCCGATGCCATCAGCCGTTTTCGTTTACTGCGTGTAAAGCGTGATATTAAACATTCGATGATTGGATATTCTCAGCACGTAAATACCCTCTGAAAGCCACCGTTTTCCGATAGTGCTCCGCACACCTATACGACCAGCGTGGGCCGTTATCACACAACTTATCAACTTTCACTGTTCTCGGGGTAAAGACCCGAATTTAAGGTGTTAGACGTATGTACACCATCCTACAGCTACAACGATTGTAACCAAAGTTGGAAATTTATTGTTATCAAAGTCCTGTGCGAATAAAACCTAGCGGGGTTGTTACATTACATTTTAGTACAATTTTAGACTTCCCCACTGAAAAATCACCTGATAAAGGTAAGTTATTCGTATAATGATATTTTGTCGTTTTAATACCCTCACACGGAAAATATCAGCGTTCCAGAGATCTATAATTAAAAGTAAAATTAAAATAAATAATTAAAAGATTAGTTTTTTTTGCTGTTTTAATGCTTGGTAGCTGATATTATACACGTTATTTTTTGATGGTATATTTCCTGACTTATTACTGTCTGCTCGGAAATTCATATTGGCCCCTTAAGTGGGATTAGGTTTTATAACGAGACCAGTGCCCGGCGCCTGCACTGCAACGTTTCTCGTTAAACTAGCCACAACAAGCCACAAGACGATCCTCTGCGGCAGCTTCACAGTTTAGCGCATACGCTGACTTAAAATTTCAGCTTATCTTGCCCGTCATCATTTTTCATTCATTTTTTTACCGCACAAGTTTGCATGTTATATTATAAGGTTTTTGTGTATTTTTTGATGTGCCGCCGGAGGAAAACTACACAGCACGGTAAAAAAACAAAATGCAAAAACGGATAGTTTGAAAAGTTATTCCATGCGGAAACTAAGATAACTCCAACCACCAGAGAACAAGTACGGTTCCCAAACAATACCCGCATACTTTATATGCCAGACAAAAGTATTGACCCGACGATGCACGTTAAACTAATTCGCCAATACTCAGTTTAATTTGTTCTTGCGTTCTCTGAAATAAATTAGATTAAACTCGAAATGTGATGTGGCGCACAACACAATCATATTAATTGTGTACAATTTGCATGCGCGCGGACGCTGGCGGAATGGTTCGAACTACTTGTTTTCGTTCGTTCGCTGTCAATAACGTGCCGATGGCCGCACGCCGAGTGCTATTCATAAATTAAATAAACCGCGACAATATTGGCATTTTACGGATGCACGTTTATACACATTGCGATGTGGTTCGCGCCGCCGCCGTTCGTGCTGGTCGGCATAATGATGCTGTTTTGTTTGAACGCCCAGGACAATGTGCCGGAATCGGGACGCTTTTGTGAAGGCCGCGACGTCAAATTTTCCCTGTGTGTATGTGTATGTAAGCCCGAATAAGCGGTTAACTTTGCCAACAGAAATTGTGATTGCGACTATTGAATATACAATGACTTCGTCGGGCGATAAATCAATATACGTACGGGACATTACGCAAGAATGTTAAATGCCAACTTGCATAGAATCTTATCAACTGCATTGTAAATGTTATTGTTCGACGTATTATCAACTGATTAATGCAAATGTAAACTGAAGTTACTCATTGCAAGAGCAGGCAAACATTACAAGTGTGATCAAAACAGAGCACTATTATGATAACACTACCATTCAGACCGCCGCCGGCTTAGGTATCACATATGATTATTGTTGGGTTCGCTTATTTTGGCGAGTAATAAAGCATGAGAATAAATGCCTGGCGCTGACATAAAATGTTTACTCGGCCATTCTGTAGTTCAATAAGCTGGAGACATGTGTGCTACTGGAAGAAAATATGTAGTTTCAAAATTACTAAGACAAGTAATAAATTGTCACACCCCTTGACGGCGCTTGCATTAGAGGGTGCGTGATTTAATATGTGAATGCACGCGCGTATTAATAAAATTTTCCGCTTATACGGCACGATTACTTGTAGTAGTATCAAAATAACTACACTGCTGGTTGAATCTGGAAAGCAGGCACAGAATGTAAAAGCGCACACTTTTCTTATAAGCTCATAAAGCATCGTTTTATGACCTTACAAATCATCGTATCGCGTTGTTTCTTGCCGTGGGGCTACAGTCGCACCGTTGCGGAAACCTATCAAGGAGACACACTCAAAGAGCTTTGTATTCTGAAGAAGTAAAACGTACTTTGTCACAGAATGCTATGACTTTAAAGCATATCTTGTAAATTTTATTATAAAACTAAACATAAAAAAGGTAATGATACAATATTTAATAAAATATTAAATAAAATATCAAATATTTACAAGTTTTGTTTACGATATTGAATAATTTTGTAAATTTGAATACAAAAATATTTATTAGCTCTACTTGATATATCACAAAATTAGTATTAAAAGTGCAACGCACAAAAAAAGATTATCTACAAATTCCAACATCTCAGAAAAATGATATCTGATGTATATATACCGCCTGCTCTCCATCGTAATGCTCTGCGCCCTCAGTTCCATTCTATCCGCGCCCCGTCCATATCTGAAGTGAAGTGAATAAGAGCCTTAGTGCACACGCCCGGCACAAGGCACAATGCTCAGCGATCAATTCCCACCTGCCGGAATAATCTCGTAAACTGTCATATTGTTGGAGAACATCTTCTACAGCTCATTGTTGTTTCAGGGACGCGATAGGCTGAGTCGACTGAATTCTGTACCAGGTACGACATGATAAGGTGTCTGCCTAATATAGAGTCGCACTCGTGCACTTAGAACGTCGAATCTATGAATCTGCCACATACACAGAGAAAAGCTAACTATCGTTGATACAGGCGTAGCGTCGTCGTCGCAGCTTTTGCTTTGAACAGCGTCGAAGCCAAGTGAAGTCAGCCTTCTGTGCTCATCGAATCAGCGAGCAATAGGAGCGTGCAACGAGCTGACAAGGAGCAGAACTCGTGCGTTCTGTTAAATATTAGCGGCGGCGCGTTTAGCGTCAAGTTTTAATAAGACTTTAAGGCTTAATTAGTTCCATTCGATACGTGACTGGAGAGAATTCTAAGGGCGCAACCCACTAATTGACATACTCCTCAAAAGGTCAAATGGGCCAATCAATAAATAGAAATGATTAACAAAAAAATAGTTTGAAACAATATTGAAGTCAAACCATCCTCGTAAAATAGTTAAATTAAATTAATACATATTTATAAGTTCAATCCGGGTTATTGTCGTTCCTAGAATAATATATGCAGTACACATATGCGAATATTTCTATGAGCCGACGCACATTTTAGCATGCCAGACTTTGACTATCCAAGGCTAAAGGGACTAAAGGACTAGGACTTTAATTATGTGCAAAGACTACAAACTGCCACTGTATAACTGTAGCAAGCGTGGCACCATATTATACAATTCTGCATTTCGGCTCGCCTTTGGTCCCTGGCTTTTATGCTTAGCGTTTTAGTTCGCCGGTTCTAGCTTCAACATTTGCGACCTCGTGACATATATTTGGGGTTGGGACACATGTGCGGCGCGACGCACCATCATAACTTTTAAGAAATGCGAGAGTATCGCGCTCGGCGCCCGCAATGTTTGGAATAAATTTACTGTGAACTTGTGCAGCCAAGCAACGCACAATTAACACTCGTAAATTAGCGCTTGTGTACAGGCGAACACATGTAACCCAGTTCTATAAGAACTTATTTCGCTGTGCAATACGCCACCTTCGTAAATGACCAATTTGGATTTCGGAGTATTTCCGCTTTAGTTCATTTATTGTTTTTGATTATTTAGGAGTGTGCATGGGGAGTAGAATTAGATTGAACTATTAATAACCGTTAACACGTGCATTTAACTTACCTAGTACACCGAGGCGAAAATTGATGGTGACTACAATTACACGTCCGGCAGAAGCCAGCACCGTTCCGTCATAGGGATTCCCAGAATTCCACTCGTAACTCTCGCCGTGGACGTACACTATGGAAGGCAACGGGCTATGTTCTTCCTCACCGCTTGCTGCAATTAAATATTCAAGAGTTATTAAAATGCATGTGCAGCAAAACGTGCAAGTTTATGCCTTTGATCCGATTTCAATTTGTTAAATGGAATGTGAAGCGCGCATCACACTAACCAGCCGTGACACTTTTATTTCATTATCGAATAGATACAGTTTACGAACCCTAGTGTTACTCAATTACTAAAGCTTCAAGTTTTAAATGTCTGTGTGGAGGGGGCGGACGAGTAGAAGCGTGGTACTAATTGTCATCGTTATGCGGCATTTATTAGAATGTTTATGCTACAGCAAGTTTTCGGCACAAATTGCTGTTAAATTTGTTTTGTAATATCAACATATCCAACTGGTGCCAGGACACGCTGTTTGAGCGATCTCGTGACCCGTTCCAGTTTCGGAATTTGGTTGCGTTGGCATCCGCGCACTTCAAACTCTTGGCATTTTGCTGCGCGCCTAAAGTTTTTTAATTGATTAGAAACAATTCGCCGGAAGGAAAGTTGTTCTTCTTCAGCACCCAGCCACGTGTAGAAGAAGTTGGCAGAATGTTTGGCTTCTTAACGTTTTTTGTCGACCCGTTTTGCGCCACTACCCCAAGTTATAAATTAATTACGAGACTTATGTATAAGTGCCGGAATATTTGACTAATTGGATATGAAGCTTTTTTGATATACGGACTTGTTTGTTAAGTGGCTTTGCTTCGGTTGAAAATCGTTTGTGTAAAATGTTGTCGAACCATTATTGGGTTTCCAAAAAAAAGGTACAAGATTATCAGGTTTAGCTTGTTTAAGCTTAAAATTAATAATCATAAAATAATAATTTATTTTTTAAATAAAAACAAAAATTTATATTAATTAGTATTATGTATATCTTATATAGTAAAATATATTTGTAAATTGGACTATAGATAATACTTGGCAAAAGAATTAATTTTATAAGAAAACATTGCTGGCACGTAGCGAGCATTCGACGCTCGCACGCGTTAAAGCAGATCAAACGCTAATGGCAAGTAAACAGTAATTTAGAAATAAATGCGCTAAAAATAAAAGAATTAAATAAATAGAATACATTTAGTATTAAACACTAGTTGTGTTTGTACGTGCGTCGGTTTGCGCGATTCTCGCTCCAACCTAGGATAAGAATTGGCCGTGATAAATCCAAGCATGCGCCGAATTTAAACGCCTGCTTTAGTGCGCCTCGACGCGAGATAGTGTAATGGCATTGTTGTGCGCGTGGCGCCTTCACCCTTTCCCTTCGTGTTGCCTCCTCAGCCCAGCCTGATCTATAGATGTTTCGGAGGTGTTTGCAAGTTGTTAACGTTCGGCGAAAGCAGCGAAGAAAAATTGTTAGGGTTTATTTGCCCAGCGTGCGCGTTTGACTCGGTCGTTCCTTGGCGCGCTCCATCTTGCAAGAGCTCAAGGACGCGCGCATCATTTTGTGTGCTTCATTCTGCACTCCATACATCGGAGGTATTCCAATATATCTTTATATGTGTGTATGCGATGCTGCGGGGTGTCAAGGGAGCTGCTTCTCGTTCCTGATTGAGAGCACGCATTTTTCACCAACTGTTGGGCATTAAGCAGCGCCTTCTTTTGGTCCATCTTCTGGGCGCGTCCTTGCTATTCACTTCAATTTCGAAACTTCGTTTTCCTCCTTTCGTCAGTATAGTTATAGAAATTCTGTTTTTCTGCGTGTGGCACGCACAAAACCGATGCATTTTGTCTGTGACCGTCAGTTATTTATTTGTTCGAAAAACGTTTTCCTGGTTTTTCAATAAATTGACGATATATTCAAAAAGTTGTTGACTTTGGTAAGCAATCAAACTTTTTAATTTCAAGTTTTAAAAGTTTTGTTTGCACGACAAGTTTAGGTGGTTCACATAACAATTTTTCGCTCACTACCGCAATATCTTTGAATTTGTTAGGAAACAATCGTTAAAAGTACTCGTAAAGATAAACAACAAGACTCTTCAACGCTTTGTTCATTTAATTGGTCAATGGCTTTCACCGGTGCTGAGAAAAGTCATTAACAGCGAACACATTTTTGGCAAATCTCTCTTCTCAGCCATCTGACTGCAAAGCAAGTTTGGAAAGGTTTTTCTTCACTTTTTGCGCTGGTTACGTAGAGGCGAGCGGAAGGAATATATTGACCGCGTAAGCGATGGAAAGCAAGGGAAAAAACCCAAGCCAACTCGTATGGCACACATCTTTGCCGTTAGCTCGGTGTACAGCCGCCCTTGTTTAGTTATTTGTGATTGCTGTTTTGGTATTTCTTTTCGCTTTCCGTTTCTTCCAACGCACACATCGTACACACTTTTCTTCTGCTCTACAGTTTCGCGTACTTTGACTAGTATCGCTCAATGTTCGAGGCTAAACTGGAAAGGACTTAAGAGAAAATATTGCCTTCCAACGAAGTGGGTCCGCAGGAAGTCGAAATTTATACGCCCAAGCGTTGGGAGCACTTATAAATTTTTGTGGACTATTGATTTCCGCCATACATCTTAGCCGAGACCGGGCGCCTTATAAAAACGACATGAAAAACCACGCTCGTTTAGCGAAACATCGCTCGCGGCTTACGGCGAAAGAAAGGCAATTTAAATATTTTCATGCATACGTAAATGTTGTTTGCGAGCTGCAGCCGTCGCAGCCATCCGCGGCGTAATCCATCAGGTGTGGTGGGGAGAGTTATGATGTGCTTAGCACTTTTACTTTTGTAAATGGCCTATATTTCTATATTTTGCTCGTACATTTTGCGCCAGCAGCCAACGAAAAATTGCAAATTACGATGCGTTTAACTGACGCCGGCGTTCAGTTGCGTTGTTTGCATTTTGGCCCTAATCATAACAAGCCAGCAACTCGTCGAGCCCCGGTCGGGGGAATATCCTTGACATGGTGGTGGGTCTTGACGTATCCACCGGCATTTGGTTGTTTGCCAGTGCGGCTGGGGGTGTGGTTGTCGCCGCATTGCTTGTCGTTATTTTTTGCGAGCCCGTTTGTTGGTTTGTTTGCTGCCTGATTCTCCCAGTCGACCTTTTGCATTATTATCATGTTATTGGTTTTACATTTTTCAACAAAATTTACAAAAAAATAATCAAATGAAATAAAAAACGCTGAAGTTAATATATATTAAACACGCAATTACATGTATCCCATAGGTAAATAGAGCAAGTGTAATTTTTAGATTGAATTTGAATTGCACCCCGAAATTTTGAGCATCATTCATTGGCATTAATCAACTATATTATGCATTTGGTGCGGTTCAATTGCAAATTCATTAATGTAACTTGTACACCTGTTCTTAATAAATTAGTTTTAATTGATCAATTAAACAGCGAGAAGAACATTCGGTGTTGCAAAGTGCATATGTAATTGCAATCCACATTGATATTAACGTAATCCTACAACCATGAAATTTAACAACTAATTTCCATTACTTGTTCAATGGATACACAAATAATATCGCTTTACTATCTACATACCTACCTACTTATATTTCGGAATATTCAGCCGAGTAGGATATTCATAGGTACTTATTAGTGAATTATGACGTTATTGTTTTATATGGAACATTAAAAACTTAATTTCACATATGAAATATCCGGGAGCCAAAATAAAAACCTAATGCATAAGCCAATTTCAATAAGTAGCGACTATGCTACCAATTCGGGTTTGCAAATACGTTTGCAAATGTAGGTATTTTGTGCAAAGCACGCTTAAATGGTCCATTAAATGAAAATCCGTGCTGTTTCAATATTGAAATGAATTCCGTGAAATGAATATTTAGCACAAATTTAACTCCCTTTAATTAATAATTAATTAATGTTTGTTCAGCATTGAGAGGAGGAAACAGGACATGTGGTCGGCTCTGCAAAATCGGGAGAATTTCTGTACACGTCGGTGAATTGAGATTTTGAGAAAATATTGCAAATTTCCATAAAATGCCGTTTATTCGAAATTCAATTCAAATTGGCAATAGACGCTCATGAAATATAACAATAAAACAAAAGGCTTAATGATGTACAAACCTTGCAATGTTTACTTCATAATTAAGGTAAAACAGACGTTCTTTTATGTAAAAAGAAAAAAGACAGTAATTTAATTTTATAAGTAGTTTTAAACTAAAAATGCTGTAAGTTTTTGATCTTAGTATAAAAACATTTCAAAGAGCTCTTCAGAAACATCTCACGACATAAACGCAAAAATCAACATCTCAGATAAGAAAACACATCATCGCCAGCAATGAAAACGTTAAAAAACCTGAAGCGTCAGTGCAAGAATAATTTGCGAGAAAAAAGTTCTCGTCTTTGCGAGTCGGAAAACTTGATTTCTACTCCGGGTGCTCCCTTAGCAGCTTGCCAAGCAAGTTTTCCACTGCTTTCTCCGCATTACGTTCTCTCTTAACGCGGTACAAAACGTTTATAATTCGCGCGGTAGGCGCAGACGGCAATGTCGTGGAACTTGAGGCCTTGAGCAATGAACCCACACACCACATCGACATGATTCTAACACAGCTTGGAAAAAGTTAAGAAGTTTATGTTCTTATAATGGGAATATTAGTGCGCGCATAAGTACCATAAATAGCGCAGATCATAAAAGTTAGTTCTTTGATGACGTATTCATGCATTATTTATATAACAAAAATATATGAATAAAATCAATAATGTTGAATGTAATTCTAAAAATAAAAATTATGTAGATTTCTTATAATCCTGTTTTAAGAAGTATCTTTTAATGCCTAGGTAGCGAAGAATAATTTCTAATTTCAGCAAGTTTACCATAATTTATTAACAGCTGCGGGAATTTAGATTTGCTGCAGGAGCGCGCCCTCGGCAGGCGTTAGGAAAGCAGCGCTGATGTTGAGAAACTAATTAAAATGAAGAAAAAAAATAATTGAAACGATGAAACTGCTGCGATGCCGGAACGAGAAGGGCACGAAAGCTATAAATATTAAAAAATTTGCCGGCATTGCGGGTGGCTAAAGCCCTTTCCTTTGTGCGAGATTTTTAAAT